CTCTATGTGACACAGTTTTCTTCATGAAATGCATGTTTCAAGTTTAATTTATGCTGATAACTATAATTTAATCCAAATAAAGATGAATATTTAATCTTACCTATGACTTCACCATATGTGTTAAAACAAACGCGCCTATATTTTCATTTTATTGTAAACACAGTGCCGACACGGAAGTTCGAATGCATCATAAGCTCTGTATGATTAACTCAATTTATTCAAAGTATAAACAAACTCAAATGAATTGTTTTTACAGGAAATCGGCATCTTCATTATACACCAATCGTGTTTCTCAGAACTATTCATTATTCTCGCCATTGTGCCACAAACAAATACACGTGTTTCTGTAGCGTAGATCTGAGGGTCCCGAGTTCGAATCCTGCTGGGAGCACTTTTTCTATTTTTCTTTTTTTTTCAAACCAAATGACACGGAAACCCTTAAAAAAGTTGGAAAGACCTCTTATTGTTCTGTGAATAATAAGTCTCCTAGTTCTTCTTCCCTATTATTCTTTTTTTTCTTCCGCTGATTTTTTGTTTCGACATTTATCGAAAAGACTTTTTGTTCATCGTAAAGGTCATTAGAAGTTAGGAACAAATTTGACCCAATGCGTATGAACTATGACCGCTTTCGAAGTTATTGCCCCTTATGCAAGAAATGCTTGTTATCGCTACTCCTTCGAAACCGTAAACCATAGAAGAATGAAACCTTCACCAATGTCTTCGACTATTTGAGGGGACTCTGGAATCTATTCATTGCGAAAGTATTCGGTGACCCCTTCAATGAGTTATTGCCCCTGAAAGTCTTTAAATTTTACAAATAATTAAATATTTTCAAAACAAGAAGGTGTAGAGACATAAGACCAACTGCATAAGATTCACTGACAGAGCTGTGGAAAACTTTTTCAGGTAGCCAGTCATTCGGACCGGCAAGAAGACAAAATATGCCAGTCCGAAGATTTTTGCCGGTCCAAAATATTAAGTTGCAAAATTGAAAGGAAAAGCATAACATTTATTTTTTTGATTACACTTTACTTATAATACTTAATAATAACATTCAAACTTCATTTCCAAGTCCACCTCCGTTTTCGTTTTTTGCTTTTATAACAATACTATAGATTTCATCACTTTTGCTGTTTCGGGCAGATGACAATGATAATTCGATCTGCATAGTAAACATATTTTTTTTTAAACATTATATGCATTTGGGAATTATATTTTACCCTGAAAATGAGTCTAAGAAATTCTGTGCATCAATAGTAAAGATACCAACATCATAAACATGATTGATGAAAAAAAAAACGAAATCTAGGACAGTCGAAACGATGGAAGTACTAGATTTACCGCTTTCCTCAATTGTGTTTGAATTTTTTTTTTGTCGAAATGTTTTACGTACCCAGGTATTTAGCCTGTCTTTTTTATGTTTTCTACCTACTTCTGTCCCATTTGTAAGTTTAAAAGGTCACGCGAGACAATGCTGGTTTCGCTTTCATTTATAGCCTCGATCTCGTGCAAAGAAAAAGTATTGCGCAATCGTATTTAAGGTATGATAATTAAGCTGGGAAGTGCGCCGATGATAGGCCCTAAATCAAAATGGAAAAACAAAAACCTTTAACAAAGAAAGAGGTCGGTCATGTGGACCGACATCGATAGCGTTTTTACCGGTCACGGGCATTTTTTGCCGGTCTTGCCGGCATGACCGGCAGTTTTCCACAGCTCTGACTGACCTTTGATCTCAAAATTCATGTAAAGGTCATAGGTCAAGGTCATTCCAAAATTGAGAAATTAAGCTCTTTTTATATCTTTTGTGTCTTTTAACATTTACAAACTGTCTTAGCATCATTAATATGTACTCTTAAAACTATTTTAAAGATTTAATTCGTATCCCTTTAGATTGACACTATTAAAAGTTATTGCCCTTTGTGCGAAAACCCTTGTTATCGCTACTACTTCGAAACCGTAAACTGCAGAGACATGAAACCTTCACTAATGTTTTCGACTCCTTGAGGGGACTCTGGAATCTATTCATTGCAAAAGTATTCAGTGACCCCTTCAATGAGTTACTGCCCCTGAAAGTCTTTGAATTTTACAAATAATTAAATATTTTCAAAACAAGAAGGTGTAGAGACATGGGACCAACTGCATAAGATTCATTGACCTTAGATCTTAAAATTCATGTAAAGGTCATAGGTCAAGGTCATTCCAAAATTGAGAAATTAAGCTCTTTTTATATCTTTTTTGTCTTTTAACATATACAAACTGTCTTAGCATCATTATTATGTACTCTTTAAACTATTTTAAAGATTTAATTCATATCCCTTGAGATTGACCTTAAAATTTATCGCCCTTTGTGCGAAAAACCTTGTTATCACTACTACTTCGAAAATCGTAAACCGCCGAGACATGAAACCTTCACTAATGTTTTGACTCATTGAGAAGACTCTAGAATCTATCATTGCGAAAGTATTTGGTGACCCCTTCAATGAGTTATAGCCCCTGAAAGTTTTTGAATTTTACAAATAATTAAATATTTTCAAAACGAGAAGTCATAGAGACATGTGACTAACTGCATAAGATTCATTTACCTTTTACCTTAAAATTTATGTAAAGGTCAAAGGTCAAGGTCATTCGATAAATGAGAAATTAAGCTCTTTTATATCTCTTTTGTCTTTCAACATATACTTAAGGTCTTTGCATCATTATTATGTACTCTTAAAACCTTTTCAAAGATTTCATTCAAGATTGTCCCTTAAGATTGACCCTATTAAAAGTTATTGCCCTTTGTGCTAAAAACCTTGTTATTGCTACTACTCCGAAACTGTAAACCACAAAGACTTGAAACCTTCACTTACATCTTAAGGGACTTTAGGCACAACTTCTATGTTCCAGTGCGAAAGGATCTGATGACCCATTGAATGAGTTATTGCCCTTTAACACTTTTGCACTTACTATTAAACCTTATAACTTTAAAAATATGTCATAAAGGCATGGGGTTTATTGCAATGTGACCCTTGACCTTTGACCTTGAATATTATTTGAAGGTCAGAGGTCAAGGTCATTACCAAATTTTTAAAATTTTAATTTTTGTCATATTTTAAACCATTTCTGGTTTCTTTTTAATAAAATTAAAGTTTAAAGAGAAAAATATTAATTGAAATTGAAATTCAAAGAAGGTGGAAAGACCTCTAATTGTTCGAGAACAATTAGTCTCCTAGTTGACAAATGAATTTTGCGATGCACATCAACTGCAGACTATATACATGACTTTGTATAGAATGTATATTAGAACTACATGTACATAGACAATTCACAATTATAGCTTATGAACAGCAGTTACAATACTTCCCTCCCCCCCTTTCAGCCGAGCAAATACCAAATAACTTCTCTTTCCACTTGTGATATTATACCTGACCAAAATCTGATCAGCACGGACTAAGTGTATTGACGTGCTAGTCTGTACGGAGTAATGACAGTGTCTTTACTATTGAGCTTTTATGGAGTTTATTTCTTTTTTTGTGATGCATATTTCAATGAATGGAATTCAGGGTGTTTATCACTTGACTTGTGCACATCTTCAAACCGATGCAGTAACCTTATTACCAGGTATGGGTACGTTTACAGCGTTCGAGGCGTTTTCTCGATATGCATCAATTGCATAGGACCTGCAAATCAAAGACGTTGGTTGTTTTGTTCCATTCAAATGATATAATTTCAAAAAGTGTTTGCAGATTTTAATGCTTTTTGTTTCAAGTTTATTCCGCATAAATTGGCGCATTGTAAAAATACGTACTCATGAATCTAAATTTCTCTTCCAAACTTGCATTTTTTTTTTCTTTTGATTCAAATCAATAATCATTCAGATTTATGATTATTATGTTGTTTATTTTGGTTTTGAAATGTCTTGATCACCTCATGTGTTCTCATATGGTTTACCATCGGAGAAGTGCACAGGTCGATACCCAAGCCAAAAAATCATTCAAGTGTGACGAGCGCATTGGGGTATATATCGTTACAATGAGACAAGGTATCTAAAAGAAATATGGCGGAATACGGCTATAGTTGGTATGAAACAAGTCGTACATAGATGAAAATGTTACGTTTTTAAGAATTCATGTCAGCTTTAACTTGTATCGGTAACTTATAATTTACCTTGATTCAATGTTTAAGTGTCTTTGGAAACCTTAATTCTTTGGTATTGTGCTTATATAATTTAATTTAAGCTTCATTTGCAATAAAATTTTCTTAGAAAAAAGTTTTTAAAAAATAATAATCTGGACTATATATTGTGTATATAAATATTCCAATGGTAGTTATGTGGTGGTCAGCCGAGTTTATAAATCGCCAGTGGCCGGATAGCTCATGCAGTTGGTAGAGCACTTGACTAGAGATTCATGGGGGTCTGGGTTCGAATCCCAGTCTGGTCGGCTGCATTTTTATCCACTCCCCTTACATTTGGTGCTGTGCCATGCACTGGAACTGACAGGTGAGAGGCCTGCCATGGATGAACCTGAGTTGGGGTCTTTGGAGGGCCAAAGACCTTTAAGGAGGGAGGAATGATTGTAGCGGTCAGACGGCTTTGATCACTGATGGCCATATAGCTCATGCAGTTGGTAGAGCACCTGACCGGAGATTCAGGGGGCCCCGGTTCAAATCCCTGTCTGGTCCACTGCATTTTTCTCCTCTCCCTTTACAGTTACATTTCCATATGTATATAATATTTTTTGTCATAAAATATCAATGTGACATTCATCCAAATTAATGCAAAAAATCTGTAGTTTTTATAATTTCGAAATTAATAAACCAGTATACTAGTCTTCATTTTTAATTGATATTCTAAACTAATATGATAGTACTTAAATAGAACAGAGCTCAATAAGATCCAAGACGTATCAGCAACAATTTGATTTTCTGGGAAATGGACTAAAAACAAAATAGTTATAGAAGCCTGCTTCTGAATAAAATAAAATTCATGAGAAGTTGATACAAATACGTATTGTACTTACCCAATATAGTTATGCTCACCGCCCTGTAGACATGCTTTAGGATTTCTATTTTTATCCACAAGACTGGTTTACAAAGGCGTATCTACCTGTAACTTAATGAATAAACATGACATGTGCCCTCTTACCTGGGAATCGTTTATAGCAGTTTTCTTTACCAAAACGAAAAATGTGAAAACAAGCATCTTATTAAATGATATTGAAATAAAAAAGAATTAACATTATCTTATCTAAATCAATATGATCATTATTAGCTAAAAATATTTTATAGTGTAATAAATTTTGTTCTGACTTATCTTTGTTAAAAAAGCAAACTATTTCGTTTTGCTAAAATAAAATTTCTTTATTTGAAAGCATTGCATTTTTCAGTGTAGGCGGGATGAATGAAAATAATAACAACGGGGCTATTTTTAAACTTGAAAAACCGGTTTTCTTACCTGATCAATACACAGGACATCATCGTGTGCAGTTAACGCCGAACATAGGTAAAGTTTTCAGAATCGGTTAATGATATCACAAATGAAATGGCTAAAATTAATCATTTATTTCATTTTACCAGAGACGTTAATAGAAAGTTATCTCTGTTTTTATTTTTTTACATGCTGTAAATTCTATCAAGAGGTTGATATTAAATTGAGAACACATAATTAAGAAATGAACATCAGTTAACACGCACTGTAAAATGGTCATAACAAATGAGTAATGAGGTATACAGTATATCACGTGTTTTAATTTACATTTGGCACAGATCTATTGAATATGAACAACAATCACAAACACAACTTTGATAATGATTAATGAAACTATTTTTTTTTAATGTCTTATAGAATCGGCATTGTCCAGAAGACATGGAGATTTTCCTCCTGGTTGCTGGTAAAAAAAAAATCATAAATTTACTTAGATCTGCCATCACTGGAAACTAGAATTACCACAAAATTATGTTCATCAACTTTATCCAATCTGTGTACTGTTAAACTGTTATAAACAGTTTATATTGTTTCAAGATGCTATTAAAATTATGAAATCTTCAGGCTATTATGAAAAAAAGATGAAAACTATGTAAAATGTTGTCTTATCCAGTATATTGTCTGACTGGCAAAGTATGAGGGTGCTTTTTTTATCACAAGCACCTGCCAAATAGATGATAATTAACACTGGTACCCCACCCTGGGTTCTAAGAAGTTTTATTAGATGCAAAAACTTGTAAAAAATACACGAAATCCTTGTCTATCATTAATTTTATCTGATCAAATTATCTGATCATTTTATGCTTTAAGTTTTAGAGATTGGCCATTTTGACTCTTTATTAATGAATCAGGTTCTTAAAAAAATACCTTTCTACTACTCATAAATTATAACTGTATCCTTTTCTATTACACTGAAATATGCAGCAATAACATACAGCAAAACTCGGTTATAACGAAGTCACTGGAACCTATGAAATCACTTCGCTATATCCGTAATTCGTTATAAGAGAGTAATTAAATTTATATATTAGGGGATCCAAGATGACTTCGCTATATCTGTGAATTCGCAATATCCGTGTTCGTACTAACCGAGTTTTACTGTATAACTTTCCCAGAGAAAGTCCATGCATATGCAATGTTGCTGAAGAACAAATGATCAAATATTTATGAATGTTGAAATTCCTTATTTATATTTTTAAATTTCTATTGATAGGTCAAAGGAAGATGAAAATTTTAATATTATATATGATTATATACATTACAATATTTAACAAAAACTTGTTTGTAATTCACAGGACTGTTTGTAGTAGCAAATGGACAAGTTAATTATGGTAAGAAAGTATATATTCATGTATGTGATTGTCTGACTGATAGAGATGTTTTAAATATTTAAAATTGTATGTTTATAAATGGCTGACTCGCTTTTAAAATGTATGTAAATTGTTTCAGTTTATTGTTGAGTATGTACATACATGTTAACTCTACGGATTTAGGCGGGAGTCTACCGCTTTTTCACTCCATCTCCTGCCTACCGATTTAATTCAGAAATCTACTGCTTTTCTACAATAGTTGCGTCTAAAGTATTTTTGGTTCGTTTGGGTATCCATTTTTGAAGCAATTCCCATAAAATCTCGTTAGATATCGCATGATTTGACTCGGAAGCATACAAACGCTTTTTTAATATCGATGTGTACATAGATTTCAAGCACGAATTTGACAACGACAACAGCACAAGATTACTAGTGATTACATTGGTTACGATAAATTTAGTCAAATCATTGCCATGAAAAAGGAGATACAGCTTTTAAGAATTAGATGAAAACGTTTGACATCGTCTATAAAAGCACAGGAGCTCACAAAGTCATCAATAAAGTCAATAGAAATCACTCGATTGACCAAGCCTTGTGGCACATCTCTATTTTCGTTTTTGATCATCGCGGGAAATCTGATTTATATAACGAAAGATAGGAACTTGTTTTAGATCTAATTTAAACCATGTCATCATTTGTTTTGTTTAACAACAGAATGAACATTCAGAATTATTGCTTCTAGGCTCTATCAGCAAAGATCACTCTTCAAAAGGCTAAGTTAAACAGCCAATCCAAATGATGAGCATGAAAAATATTTGAATTTTACAATTATGTCAAACTTAAGGTGTTTCTGTCTTTTTCTTTAAAGTGCAGTTGATATTTAAGATTAATTATTGTAGGTTTCATTTAAGGCTACATTCATGTATATTGCATAAAATATATCGATAATCCAAGCGTAAAACAACATGCGCGCAATGCTACCGCTTTTGAGGTCTGAATCTCCCTATTTTTCATCACAATGGGTTAACATGTATGGTATGTACATTATTATGCATATACATGTATTACTAATTAAACTCAGAAGTTGAAATACTTATTTGATGGATGTCTTCATACAGATTTTATAACGTTACTTTTGACAGCCCCCGTTTTCGACACAGTCAATACAACAGGTATTGACGGAGACTTGCGACAAAGACTTGTCACGCAGGGTGTCCTGGAAAGTGTCCCAGTAGGTAAGTTAACAGAAGCTGTAAATATTGTCATGTACGGTACTGGGCTGGAATAGCCAGCTGCTAAACTGTAAAGAATGTATATAATCTATATTAAATAAAGAAATGAAAAATGGTTTAGAACAAAATCATCCAATAAAGGATAAAGCCCCTACGTAAATATCACAATCGTTTTCTTTCTGTTTTATCGGTGCTGTTCGACTTTATTAATGTAATTTGCTCATGTTGATTTTCAAACATTGGTAGGGATGTGCAATTTTAAGACCGCGAAATATTAACTGGCAAAATTGAAAACATACAGCTTACGTCATTTCTATCTGTTACAATCAAAACATTCAGTGATAGACAATGAAATGGCGGGTACAATTCGATGCGGACGTGGGGAAAACATCGGATTGAAATTGCAGATCGAAATTCATTTTCAATCCACCTCGAAGGCACGTTATTAGTTTACTGATTGACCCAGAAGTCAATTTTGGTACAGTATGATTTTTTTGTCCAGTGTTTTAAATAAATTAATATTTAAGGGACAAATATTTCATTTCTGTTTGGTAAATATATGTATTTATCTTTGTGTTGGTGAGGGGGGGAGGGGGGCTGAACGATTTTTAAATAAAGATGTAAAACAGTTTTCAGTGAGAGTAAGTATAAAACTTATGCACTCTGATAATCCTAGAAATATAAGCAATGACCTGACTCCACAATTTTTACCCCCCCCCCCCTTCTAGAATCAAATATCTACTGAAAAATAATCTTTGTCTTCTATGATCTTTCGCGTTCTTAAAATTATAAGCTAAAATTCATATTTTTGTGAACTTCAAACAATATGTATTTGGAAGTTGAAATTAGTTGATATTTGGATCATACATTCAATCTTTGCTTTGAAAACAGCTCAGGTGGATTGAAAATGAATTTCGATCTGCAATTTAAATCCAATGTTTTCCCCACGTCCGCGTTGAATTGTACCCGCCCATTTCATTGTCTATCACTGATTGTTTTTTTGTTGCGTGATACGTATCGTGATATGGAGACTTAAATACCGGTATTTAGGTACATATTATAAAGAAATTATTCATTTATTTGTTCAATCTTTCAAATTACAATTATAGAAAGTCTAAAAAATGTTGTGAAAGGTGGAAAGAACAGCATCTTACCGTCTAAACAATTTCATGATTAATTTCATGTACATAAAAATATCAAAAAAGTGAAATTTTGTTTTTCTAACATATTTTTAAGAAAAATAATGACAATTCATTAAAAATCATTGTAAAAAATTGCTTGTAAAAATATCATGATATTATCGTGATATTTTTGGGAAAAAAATCCTGATGTGAAATTTTTGGTGATACCCACCCCTAAACATTGGTCTACATTGTATTTTTGAGCCGTATATGAAATCAAATGAGTAGAATCGGGAAACTATTTAGATATTCAAGACATTTTACTCTTTACTACTCATTTCACTATACCAACGAAAAGAAATTGAATTATCTATTTCACACTTTCGTCTTTCTGAAAGAGTGACTTTAGTGAATCTTGTGGCCAATGGGATCCATTTAACACTTTCATCTGTTTGAAAGAGTGACTTAAGAATCTTGTGGTTAATGGGCCTCTTGTCTCTTTACCTAGCTGGAAATTCTATTTTTAGAACCAACTGCCTTTAACATTTAAGTATCAGAGGTAGGTAATGCTTTTGCATTGCATATTTCTGATATTGTTGTTAGGTACAGAACTTGGAAAATTGAAAGCCCGTGTTCCCCAAAATCCCAATGCAGTAATACTATATGAAGCTACAAGCCAGTCATTGGATGTCAAATCGGATGGATCTGTGTTGCTTGCAAGGCCATTGGATAGAGAGGTTAGTGGATGTAAAATCAGATTTGACCAGGATTTCTGAGGGAACCAGACTAGGGTTCAAAAATTTTAAAAAGGGTATTTTCTATAAAAAGCAATTAGATTTTGTGCTCTTATCATGAAATGGCTTGGGCATACAGTGTGATATTGTTTACCCTTTACAAAAGTCATGTTCATCACAGTCTTAGTTTTTCCAGACTTTTCTTTTTCCTCTACCCTGATTTTTAGCTCTACTGGTCAGAGCTGCTAAAGTAAAGTGTCTATCTACATAGTTAGCTGTCTGTTTGTCTGTAAACAGGTTTTTTTAGCTCTTCTGAGCCAAAGGCTCAAAGAGCTAATGCTATGGCCATTTGTGCGGTGTGCGTAAACTTTTTAGAATATGGGCCACAACTCAAGAACCCCTTGGCCAATCAGTACCAAATTTGTCACAGGGTATCCTTGGCCCAAGGGCTACCATTTATACTAAAATAAGGGTTGGGACCCTTAAACAAGGGGAGATAATAAGGAAAACGAAACCAAAAGTACTGGTTGCTAAAAAATCTTCTCCATAACCACCGAGCAGATTTTCACCAAACTTACATACAAGGATCAGGATATGTCGAAGATTAAAATTTGCATGGGGAATTAACCTGGGGCAAAGGGCGTGGTCTCAAGGTCACTTCTAAGTTGACCTAAATTTACAATTAATAAAAACGTGTATATTTTGCTTACTATAAGGACTAGGATCATCAATTCTTGTAAGTTGATGCATCTTACGACTTCACATCATGTTAACTCAAAAGCAGGTCACGGTGACCTACCTTTTAAATTTTGCGGGGATTTGTTTTCAAATTGAATTGAAGGCATATTTTGGACACTTTAAGTCCTATGATCATCACACTTTGTCAGTTGATGCATCTTGGGTCCTCGAACAATGTCAATTTAAAAGTAGGTCACCGTCACCTACTTTTTTAACTTGATGACATCCTTTTAAAAACATTAAATCCCATTATTTCAGACACTGGGAGGTTTAGAATCATCAAATCTTGTACTTTGATGCATCTTGGGACCTTAAAACATATTTATGAAAAAGTAGGTCACTGTGACCTACTTTTTGAATTTTGCTGACATTTGTTTTCAAATTGTTTAAAACGCATATTTTGATTACCTTCAGACCTATGATCATCACACTTGGTCAGTAGATGCATCTTGGGTCTTTGAAAAATGTCGACCAAAATGTAGGTCACAATGACCTACTTTCGACATTTTATGGCTATATTTAAGTATATTAGGTATTTATTGGCTTAGAATCATCAAACTTTGCGAGTCCATGCATATTTGGTTTTCGGAGAGTGACGACCTAAAAGTAGGTCACGGTGTCCTACTTTTGACATTTTATGGCTTTATTTAAGTATCTCCGGTACTTATTGGCTTAGAATCATCAAACTTTGTGAGTTGGTGCATCTTGGGTTTTCTGAGAGTGACGACCAAAAAGTATGTCATGGTGACCTACTTTTGACATTTTGTGACTATAATTAAGTATCTCTGGTACTTATTGACCTAAAATCATCAAACTTTGTCAGTCACAGTGACCTACTTTTGACATTTTATGGCTGTATTTAAGTATCTCAGGCACTTATTGGCTAAGAATCATCAAACTTTGTCAGTTGAGGCATCTTGGGTTTTCGGAGAATGTTGACCAAAAATAGGTCACAGTGACCTATTTTTGAATATCTCAGGTACGTACAAGCTTAGAATCATCAAACTTTGTCAGTTTAGGCACCTTGGGTTTTCGAAGAACGTCGACCAAAAAGTAGGTCACTGTGACCTACTTTTGACATTTTATGGCTATATTTAATTATATCTGGTACTTATTGGCTCGGAATTATCAAACTTTGTCAGTTGAGGCATCTTAGGGTTTCATTGAATGTCCAACAAGAAGTAGGTCAGGGTGACCTAATTTTGAATATCTCAGGTACTTATTGGCTTAGAATCATCAAATTTTGTCAATTTAGGCATTATGGGTTTTTGAATAACGTCGACCAAGAAGTAGGTCACTGTGACCTACTTTTGACATTTGATGGCTATATTTAATTATCTTTGGTACTAATTGGCTTAGAATCGTCAAACTTTGTCAGTTGAGGCATCTTAGGGTTTCATTGAATGTCCAACAAGAAGTAGGTCAGGGTGACCTAATTTTGAATATCTCAGGTACTTATTGGCTTAGAATCATCAAATTTTGTCAATTTAGGCATTATGGGTTTTTGAATAACGTCGACCAAAAAGTAGGTCACTGTGACCTACTTTTGACATTTGATGGCTATATTTAATTATCTTTGGTACTGATTGGCTTAGAATCGTCAAACTTTGTCAGTTGAGGCATCTTAGGGTTTCATTGAATGTCCAACAAGAAGTAGGTCACGGTGACCTAATTTTGAATAGCTCAGGTACTTATTGGCTTAGAATCAACAAAGAACTATATGCGGTATATTGCATATATTTGCCCCCACAAAAATCAAATTTTGAAAACTTCCTGAAATGTGCTGAATTCAATAAATTGTATGAGAAATATAAATTAACAGAAAATATTATAGTGTCAAAGCAGTGTATTCACAATTTTTGTTTTTATGACGTCACAAACTAGTCCGATTTTATATCCTTTTTCAGAAAGAGGACAAAATGGACAAAATTTCAACAATTTTAGCTTTAAAATTTATAGAGCGCAAGTTTGTTCAGGAACAATATTGACATATTTCATTGATATTATCATTCTACACATTATATCAAAATATTGATCCTGAACACACATGCGCTCGGTGACTTTTACTCAAAATATCGACGAAATATGTACATTTTTCTGTAAAATTCATAAAAAACTGAAATTTACGTCATGTTTGTGACGTCATTACGTACATATGGCGTCATTACTTATGAAAATATTCAATGCTTTGAAGTCAGCATATACTCCCCTTTTTAAGAACTTAATTATAACTCCATCAAAGTTTGATTTGGGGGGGCAAATATTGGTTATTACCGAATAAAGTTCTTTTGTCAATTTAGGCATTATGGGTTTTTGAATAACGTCGACCAAAAAGTAGGTCACTGTGACCTACTTTTGACATTTGATGGCTATATTTAATTATCTTTGGTACTAATTGGCTTAGAATCGTCGAACTTTGTCAGATGATGCATCTTGGGTTTTCAGAGAATGTTGACCAAAAAGTAGGTCATGGTGACCTACTTTTGAATATCTCAGGTACTTATTTAATTAGAATCATCAGTCTTTGTCAATTAATGTATCTTGAGTCCTCAGAAAATTTCAATCAAAAGGTAGGTCACTGTGACCTACTTACGGTATTTTGTAATTATATTATAATATCTTCAGTCTTAACTGGCTAAATATTATCAAACTTTGTAAGTTGATGCATTTTGGGTCTTATGATTCTAATAGAGTTGGAGGCTTCTAATAGAAGTGATAGATTGTACAATTTATCAGAAGAGTGATTCAAGGCCCTTGGGCCTCTTTTTTCCAAATGCAACTATTCCTACAGTTTTTGGTTCAAATTCAATATAATTTGGTACATAAGTAGACTACTTTAGGATACATATCTCTGTTTATTGGTTTTTGATATTTTCTGTGAAATTCTTTGTTGTTAAATGCTGGTGAATGAGCCAGATTAAGATATCCGGTTATAGGTAGAATTTTATGTTTTTTATAGGCAGCTTCTTCAACAGGAAATAATCTGAAGGTCACATTTGTGGCTTACTATTTCACAAACCAGGGAGTTAGGCTCCAAGTAAGTATCGAAGCTTATAGTAACAATACTCTTTTATGTTATTGGTTATCTTTAATATGACATTACTTAATTTTATTTTTTTTTAAATTCTTTGATTTTTTTTTTTTACCAAAAATTCATCATTTGAAAATATAGGGACTAAGTTATTTCACTGTGTTTTCTTTACACAGTCTCCTTTCAATAAGTATATATTTCAGTAGTGAGTTTTTCAGTGATATGAGTCTGACTGAAGATAATTGTATTACTTTATTCCATTAGGCTGATACCTCCATTACCATCACAGTTCTGGATGTCAATGATGAAGCACCAAGGTTTGAAAATCTACCATACAATGCAAAAGTAGCAGAGGTAAATAAAACAAAATAGATGATCAATTTAACAAATATCTTGATCAGGTAGATGTTGTTTTTATAAATCTACTCTGTATTTTAAGACAAAATGGCTGTACCATTATGTAATGAAGTTGAAGTAAATTTTGCACAATCAGTATTGAATGAGGAATTAATTTATTATAGAATTCTGTATTAATATTACATTACACCCTTTATTTTATGACAGGATTTTAATGTACATAATATATGTAATATGCCACTTGTATATTGTAATAGGATGCCTCGATTGGGACCACTCTGTACAGTTCCATTCTTGTGCGAGATTTAGATGTGGGTTACTATTCAGAGATCCAACTCTCTTGTCATGTCCTTCCAAATAATCCAGAGGTAAGAAAAGGGAAAAAGAAGCTTTATAAAGATTACATCTGCATTTGAGATTAGATAGGAAATGTAAGGAGTATGAAAGTATTTTACACTGACTCACGTGAAATTGAAACTTTTTGAAATATGTTTCTGTATAGTTCTCTTCTATATTATATAAAAAAAAATGTGGAATTTGTGTGAAAAAAAGGAATTAAAGAGCATTTTGCATCACTGTTAGCTAGAGCTAGATAAAGAATGAATGTGTAAGAAAAGACAAAAGATCAATCATTATGAAAGAAAGGGGTAAACTCATAGTATGAAGAGGCCAGTGAATTTATATCCTCCAGGAAACTTTAAATTTCAAATTTATAATAGATGAGTAGTTATCAACCAATAAATCAAATCCCTATGATTATAAGTTTATTCTAGTAATGACAAAATTTGATCTTAAAATTATATGTGATTTTGCACTGAGTATACAAGTGTCTTGATTTGACACAAGATGTATTTTTCAAGCTGCTGGTAATTACCTATTTATCAGAATGGTGTCGTGTGGCATCATGTGACATAAGGTCTTTCAATTATTTAGAATCTGTATGTTGAATGCATCAGTTGTATTTTTATTTTCAATCGTATTGTACAAATTGAAATTTTATTTAGTGATCCAAAATATCAAGCCACTTTGTCATCTCTTTGGGTGAACTTTTGTGTAACATAATACGGAAAAGAAGTGAAATTAATTTGTATTTAATTTAATTCAATGAGACAAATTGAATTGTTTGATTTTTGTACTGCATGTCAATCGGCAGAATTTTACCTTCTATAAGGATTTGTATGCTATTTACATTTTCTCTGTGTTCCAGAGTCAGTCAGCCTGTGACACGTTCGGAGTTAACACACGACAGAATGCCCAGGGTAACTACACAGGATTTGTGTTTCTCAAGAGAACTGTGGATTATGAAGTAAAGAAAGGATACACAATGACCATCAAATCCATTGTAAGTGCTTGTTTTGTCTTTGACTGAATCATTATTCTGATGTCAGCAGCATACAATAATTATTTGATTCATAGCAGTAAGAGATAGATATTAAGAATAACAGGAGAAAGTCCTTTTTTGTATACAGACTAACACATAAAACCACAAACATGTGCATGGGACTAAAATTTTTTAGGATAAGTATTTGGCTGAAATGTTTGCCACTGATTTAAACTCTAAATGTATAATATATGTACATGTATTTATTTAATTACAGAATTTTTTTTTATAACACAATGACTTAATTTATTTCTTTAAGGACAACCCTTCTCGACTGGGAGGTGGCTCACAGCTGAGCTCGACAATCAACATTCTTATAGAAGTGATCGACCAACAGGATTCTCCTCCCCGATTCCTTAATACCCCCGTCACTGTCACTGTGTTTGAAAATACTCCAAACGTAAGTTCTCTGAAGAGGTAGAAGGCAGCTCATTTTAGCTCAATGCCTAAATTGACTAAATTATTTATAATATATTTCAAAATCAAAAAAATGAAATGTTACTCAATAACATACTTAGAAGCACTGAAAATGCAGAGATTTTAAAGGACCACTTGCTTGATTAAATTGATTTTATTCTTTACATAATGATTAAATTCTGATTCTGTATTGTAGGGTACAAGATTGGGTGTCATTACTGCACAAGATGGAGATGAAGGAAGCCCTCGACCAATCAAAATTGTCAATAAAGGTAAACAGAGTTGAGACTCTGCAACTTTCTCTATATAATATATTCTCTCTTGATTTCTACTTTAAATTTCTGTCTTTCAGATTTAAATTCTTTGAGTTTTATACATGTATTGTTATGAGGAAGGTCTTTAAATTAGATATTCATAAAAGAATAAAAATCCACAATACTCTAGAATTTTAATATCAAAATTTGAAATTTTTCAGAATCTAAGTTAAATTGGTTTTTGAATATATATAGATTATTATATTCTTAGATATTTTAAATATTTTCCAATATACAAGGTAAACATGCTTTCAGCAAAATGCCAGAGAGGAGTTTTGATTTATTATATCTTTTAGATAATAATTCTTTTTAAAACTGTGTAAATTGAAAATCACTTCACTGCAAGTGCATACAGAGCATGTACACTGTAAGCATGCCTTACTGTATATTACAATTTTTTGTTTTCAGAAAATACTAGGTCTTGTTAAATATTCAAACTATATAATATTTTTTCCTCAGAAATTTATTTTAAATACAGTGTATTTGAAATTAACTCCATAAAATAATACATTGTATACATAAAACTATCTATTAAAGAATGTGAGAAATGTTTGTCTACATGCATGTTATATATATTTACATGTTATTGACTCATGTGCCGTTATTTATTGTCTTGTTGCTAAAGCCATTGGAGGTAAGCTCGATATTGTAGGCATTTTAATACGACAGCTTTAATGTGTTATCTCATATTTTATTGCATGCAATATTTGTTTCAGCCGAGTTGCAACAAAAAAAAAATCAAATTAATTTTCATCTTTATGAGGAATGGTTGTATTTATTTATTTATTTTGGTTATGTTAAGACTAAAGAGGAGAACAATTTTTCAATTAATTTTTTTTTGGGGGCGGGGGTGCAAATACCTTTTATTTTAATACTTTTGTAACTTTCAGACTTTCATAGTTGTTCTTATGTCCCATGGTCAAGTACTATGTGATGCTTGTTCAAATGTCAGACATGTTTTCAAATGAATGGAAAATGGATAATTCTTATATTGAAGCATTTCTTTTGATGTATGGTTGTTACCTGGTTGTGCACTAGATGTTGTATTGGCTAAAACCCTTCATTAACTGAAATTTATATATCACCTAATTAATGCTGAAATTCAAAAATCTGAATTGAGTTTTGAATTTGCGACGAGTGAATTTATATCGGTAAATGTACATGTAATTGTAATTTGTCCTATTTATGCAGCTCGGTTTCATTTCTTTATTTCGAAAAAAACTTTTTTTTGCCCACTAATTTATTTTGATAACAGCTAGATTATTATAATACATGTATATAGAAAGGATACAGCAGTTAATTGATGCATGTTAATTAGATGAGACATAGCATGCTGGAAATGAATGACAGAGTGTAAACTCATGACAAACATTATGTCAAGGAAATTGTACAATGAATTATAGTTCAAAGTATAATATCGTAAATTTATATTCTTTGATATCAATATTTGGAGAGTATTTTCTTATCTAACAGCTTATTTATAAATAATAAACTTATTACAAAAAGTAATAATACTGGCCAATATATTAATGTATAAACAATAAAAAAAAAACATATTTGCATAAATTATAAACCGTAAAAGAGCATATTGCATGTTTACATATTTTTATGAAGGAATGATCATATATTGCATATAGTATTTACTTTCATGTTATCAATCCAAGGACTTTCTATCAGCAAAAAATGTTGAAGCTCAGTAATTCTTTTAGACTTGAAGGGATGGAGAATTTAACGGATCAGTTTTGTTCAATCAAAAAGAGTCACTGTAGGATGCTTCAAGCGTTGCATGCTACATGTTAAATGTTTATCTTCTAAAACAAGTGTGACCTTGCATGTATATGAATATATTCTTTAAAATAAAAATAGAAACAGAAGCTTAAAGAGTGGCACATATATAGTTTAGATGTGCTTGGTACAGCTATGCATTTTTAGCTCACCTCAATGAAGTTGGGGGAGCTTATGTAATACCCTCGGCGTCCCCGTCGGCGTCGGTGTCGGCGTCCCAGGTTAAGTTTTTTGGAGCAGTTTTCTTTTTAAGTACTTCTATGTCCTATATTGATTAGACATGCATGGAAGATGCTTCTAGTGTGTTTCATTGTACCAGTCAAAGTTTCAGATGCTGCAATTTCAGCAGAGGAATGACCAGGTTAATGTTTTTGGAGCAGGTTAACAGTGCACTATTTGGTGTAGGTATTTCCAAGGAACTATAAGCCCTATGTTGACCAAACTTGCATGGATGATACATCTAAGGATGCATACTACCAGGCTTGCTTCGGATGCTGAATCTGACCTACATTTTCAGGTTGAGTGAACAGGTGAAAGTTTTTGGTGCAGGTTTAATTTCCAAGTCACTATAAGCCCTGTGTTGACCAAACTTGCAATCTAAGGATGCATACTATATGCTGAATCTGACCTACATTTTCTGGGTGAGTGAACAGGTTAAAGTATTAGGTGCATGTTTCATTTCCAATTAAATATAAGCCCTATGTTGAACAAACTTGCAAGGATGATACATCTAAGGATGCACACTACCAATGCTGAATCTGACCTACATTTTCCGGTTAACTGAATAGGTTAAAGTTTTCGGTGCAGGTTTATTTTCCAAGTAACTATAAGCCCTGTGTTGACCAAACTTGCATGGATGATACAAAAGCATATACCTGGCTTGTTCGGATGCTGAATCTGACCTACGTTTTTTAAAACAGGTTAAAGTTTTTTGGTGCAGGTCTCATTTCTAAGATACTATGAGCCCTATAATATATTGCATATATATCTAAATATGCATACTAGGCTTGCTTCGGATGCTGAATCTGACCTACGTTTTCTGGTTGAGTGAACAGGTTAAAGTTTTTGGTGCATGATTCGTTTCCAAGTACATGTAACTATGAGTTCTTTAATGATCAAACTTGCATGGAGGAGACATCTTAGGATGCACACTAATGGACTTGCTTCGGATGCTGAATTCGACATTTATTTTTCAGATAATGGACCAGGTAAAAGTTATGGTTGCAGGTCTATTACCAAAAAGCTATAAGGCTTATATAACATTGTATAAACCAAACTTGCACAAATGGTGCATCAAGGGACGAAAACTATCAAATTTGCTTCAGATGCTGGATTTTAATTACATATTCATGAAGAACTAGTATGAATTTTTTATATAGGTCTATTTCAAAGTATCAGATCAAAATTGCATGAATATTTTCATTTTTGGATGTACACTTTTTGTTGTGTGACTTTGCCTTACTTAAAGACAACATTCGTTGAGGTGAGCTCTGTAATCTCTGATTACCTATGTTTGACTTTCCGTGTGAAGTGCTTAAATGTAATAAAGTAAAAGTGTTGGAAAAAAAAAAGTACTCAGACAGTGTGAATTATACAATAATTTTCAACCCTCTCTAAGGGGGAACAGATGTATGCATAAATCACAACACCAAAATAGACTCTATATATACATTTTAATTGGCTCCAGGTTATCAAACTGAGAAAAGCTCACTTTTTATCTAAGTCACACTTTTCCACCATTGATCCCGATTGAAAAAGTGAGCTTGAGATCAAAAGTGAGCTCATCTCAGTTTTATGGCCCTGGAGCATGGATACAAAGTAAAACATTTTTGAGAGAAAAATTATTTTTTGAATGTGAAGATCCCTGCTTAAATGTGGACAACTCCAGCCTAAAGTCCCAAAAGTGAACATTGAGAAACTCAACTTGCCAGATATGATTTTGATGTGGAGGTAACAATATTATCATGTTTTAGTCTTTGTATTTAAACATATTTTTAGCTCACCTGAGCCGAAGGCTCAAGTGAGCTTTTCTGATCACATTTTGTCCGTCGTCCGTCCATCTGTCCGTCCGTCTGTCTGTCTGTCTGTCCGTCTGTAAACTTTTCACAACAAGAACCATAGGGCCAATTTTGACCAAACTTGGTACAAAGCATATATAGGGGAATTTAAATTGTTAAAATAAAAATCCCTCACAAGGGGAGATATGAAAAGTCAAAAATAGGGTGGGGTCATAAAAAATCTTCTTCTCAAGAACCACTGGGCCAGAAAAGCTGAAACTTATGTGGATGCATCCTAGGGTAGTGTAGATTCTAAATTGTTCAAATCATGACCCCCGGGAGAAGGGCGGGGCCCCAATGGGGAATCAAAGTTTTACATAGAAATATATAGAAAAAAATCTTTGAAAATCTTCTTCTCAAGAACTACTGGGCCAGAAAAGCTGAAACTTATGTGGAAGCATCCTAGGGTAGTGTAGATTCTAAATTGTTAAAATCATGACCCCCGGGGGAAGGGCGGGGCCACAATGGGGAATCAAAGTTGAACATAGAAATATAAAGGAAAAATTTTTGAAAATCTTCTTCTCAAGAACCACTGGGCCAGAAAAGCTGAAACTTATGTGGAAGCATCCTGGTATAGTGTAGATTCTAAATTGTAAAAATCATGACCCCCAGGGGAAGGGCGGGGTCACAATTGGGAATCAAATTTTTACATAGAAATATATAGGAAAAATCTTTGAAAATCTTCTTCTCAAGAACCACTGGGCCAGAAAAGCTGAAACTTATGTGGAAGCATCGTGGGGTAGCGTAGATTCTAAATTGTTCAAATCATGACCCCTGGGGGAAGGGCGGGGCCACAATCTGTAATCAAAGTTTTACATAGAAATATATAGGAAAAATCTTTGAAAATTTTCTTCTCAAGAACCACTGGGCCAGAAAAGCTGAAACTTATGTGCACATGGAAGGATCCTGGGGTAGTGTAGATTTTAAATTCTCTAAATTATGATCAGTAGGGTAGGGTGGGGATGCATTATGTATTACAAGGGGGAAATCTTAAAGAACAGAATGTCAAAGCTTTTTGAATGTGGCCCATGGGCCTCTTGTTTATTATATTATTCATTAATTAACTCTGTTAGACTACTTTATATCAAATATTTTGAGCAACATAGAATCATTCAGCAAAATATTTCAGGCTATAGAGTTAGAGAACGGTGTGGAGACTGATCAGAGGGTGATGACCAAGGTTATAGTGACTATCCTGGATGAAGATGACAACATTCCTACATTTCAGCCGTCTTTTTATAATGTGACGGTGTTAGAGATGGACAGCAGTAGCTCTTTCGCCAATTCCACCACGCCATTACCAGGCCTTACTGTCAGAGTCGAGGACCCAGACGATGTGAGTGTTCAGGGAATGTAAAGGGATTGGTCATTTAGAATTAAATGTTTTATCATTTTCTTATGTATTGTGAATTTCTTATATCATCTTTTCCTTAAACTAACATCAAGTTTTGAACATAATCTATGAAATATTTTAAGACTTCAGGCTAAATTTACACTGAATTTTTTTCTTTGCATTATTTGACACCCCACCACCACCACCATCACCAACATCACCACAACATTTACTTTGTGTGTTTTTAGGCGAGTAATGCCTTGTTTAACATCTCCATCTTGAGTCAGCCGGTGCCTGGTCTGTTCAGAGTAACCCCCACTCAGGCCTCCCAACTGGCTCAAGCCTCCCTCATCGTAATGGACGCCAAACAGCTGGATTACGAGAACCCTAACGTCCGCACACAACAGATTTTGGTAAGTTACCTTTCTTAGTCAATTTAAAAATTGATTATAAAGTTCATGAAACAAAATAACACCAAGTTGAATGTTGAAAACTAAAACAAATGAGTGCAAAATCTTTCTTTTTTAAATTTGCAAAAATTGATTGAAATGAGGAGGCTTCTTTCAATTCAGAAGACTTTGTTTCCCTAGTTAGCTATCATTTTGTGTGTATGTTTTTAAAATAATTTGCAACTCTCAAATACAGTGAAACACGCTTATGATGCTTTGCCAGGGACAGCTTCATTATAAGCGTAATTCATTATATCTGTCTAGTTTACAACATGTAATAAAGGCTTGGGGAATGAAGATCACTTTGCTCATCAATTCATTATAGGGTTGTTCTCTATGACTGTGATTTACTGTAGTCACAAAATTAAGTGAAAAGATGTTATTGATGTCTTTCATTTCAATATTTTGAAGTGTGGTGTTTAAATGATCCATTGTACATTGCAGTTGTTAGCTAAAGACGTCAACAATCCCATTAACCATTCGTCCACGGCGACGGTGATCATTAATCTGGAGGACAGTAACGATAATACCCCAGTATTCCTAGCCTCAGAGTATTCGGCCTCGGTCAGAGAGGACCGTCCTGTTGGGAGCTCCATCATTACCATCACTGTAAGTATAAAAAGAACGATCACGGAACTTAAAACACTTTAAATAAAATTCATAGTCACTGGGACACTCAGATGTTTTATTGTAATCAATAGGTATAAATAGTAATAAAGCTGAACTACTTATAAAAGTGATGTCACTGATAATGTAATTGCTCAAATTCAGTTAGAAGACAGTTAAATCAGATCTTTTTTTATACAGGGTTCAGATAGAGACAGTGGAGAAAATGGCCGTTTAGTGTATTCACTTCGTGGCACAGGATTAGAAAAGCAAGTATTCTCAAAGTATATACATATATTTTCTGAGAAAGTTAGTATTAGATTTCATGAAAATGTAAATTTTATCTTTCTGCTCCTAGGTTTAACGTCGATTCATCCACAGGCCTTGTTACTCTGGCTCAGCCACTAGATTATGAGGATACAACCTCCTATCAGCTGTTATTCAGGGCCCAGGACAGGGGGAGTCCCAGTCGTGAGTCTGCCGTCAGTCTCACCATCTCTGTTCTTAACTATAATGACTTTGGACCTATCTTTAGTCCTGATTCTTACCAAACCTCGGTGAATGAAGGAGAAACCAACATTTTGATCCCCGTTATTGTCAAGGTAAGGTTAAGAGAATCCAAAGTTTATATTGTATTTGTGAATGATTTGTTGAATTTCAATGTTTTTGGAATTCAATTATACTTTGTGAACAAAACCTGGAGTGTAGAATATATCATACTACATGAGAGAATTTCATATAAAGACTTAAGTTATTACGAAGACCTTATGATATGCTGGGTGTAACTCAATCTGGTGGATGATCTCATCAAGTAAATCTCTCAGAGCGTGGCTTGGACGGACTCCTGAGCTCATACTAAGCTGACCATATACCCAAGGATGGTTTTGGAGGAAAACAACAAAACTAAGGGCTGAGTCTTTGAGATAAAAAACCTCAATTATTAGCAGGGGTTAAGATTTTAGCTTGCATTAGGGAGATATTTTTTTTCAAGCTGATGCTTAGAACAGAAACCTGGGGTTTATCAGAGCAGTAGTCAGTGGAAAAACTTTATGTTTCAGTACCTCCAGGGACACAAATTAGCAACAGGTGCCTAGGCCTGTTCCAGCAGGCAATATTATTATAGTTGATCCCAGGAGCTCACAAATCTGACATTAATCATAGGGATAATCCCAGTTTATAAGCACTAATAATTGTAATGTTTCATTGTAGGCTCGAGACAAAGAATCTCTGGATAACATCACTTACGCTATTGTTGCTGGAAACACCGTTGATAACGCCTTTATTCTCAACAGTAGAACAGGAGTACTCTCCCTTTCCAGGGGACTTAACTATGAAGAGACTCCCAATAGGAGGGGATAGTAAGAAATTTATTTGTTTAGTAGGAAGTCATTTATGGCAAACTTACCTCAAAAGTTTTTACTCCTAATAGTAAGTAGAGCTATGATCAAGTCAGTTTTAAAAGTTTTGAGATAATTTTAAACTTTATGCATCCTCGTCAATATTGTTTTGATTGGACATTGTCAGATAGCTAACAAGTTTGCATGTATTTGTACACATGAGCTGTTTCAGACTTGTTTATCTTGGGTATCTTCTTTCCACAGTTTCCGACTGATTGTACAAGCTACTGATGCTGATATTCCCCCACAGTCGGCTAACACAACTATTGACGTCCTAATCATCGTAAGTGTCCGACACAAAAAATGCTTTCATTGTTGATTGCAGAATCAAATGTAAACTTTTTATGAGCTAGGTGCTAGCTATTTTGGTCTATAACTTTTATTTATTTTACAACAGGACAAGAACAACCATGACCCCCAGTTTGTACAGTCCCAGTACACGGCTCAGATCAGTGAGGGATCCCCTCCAGGTCAGTGCTACACTAAATCTCAGGGTGTTTCAGTCTCTGTCATCGGAACCCACAGGTGCCTCTCTGTTACACTACACTTGAACTGAATGTAGTGTAGTGGAGAGGAAACCAAGGAATTTAAATCGGTTAAATTTTTACACACATAATTTAATTGATAGCTAAAAAAACTTTTTAAAGATATTAATTTTTTATGCTTACAATGGTCAGTTTATACAAATAGTCTATGAAGGTATTAAACATCTAAAAAAGAATGTATTGTGCATTAATAAAGGGGAAGGGGGCATTTTTTATGCTTTCAGCAGACAGTTTATAAAATATTATTATGTTGATTATTAGGATCCTTTGTGAAGACTGTGTCTGCTACTGACCAGGACTTTGGATCCAATGGAAATATCTCCTATTACATCTGGAGTGGAGGGCTGGACCACTTCACCATAGACCAGCAGGGGCAGGTCACAGTTAGTGGTGGGGCAGCCTTGGATGTGGACAATGTCAGGACATATGACATCACAGTAACTAGTCATTTCCACTATCAGAGACTGTGTTGTAACTGATACATATATTTTGAATGTTTTGTTATTTTTTACAAAAAAATTGCCACAGAAATATTTACATTTTGTATACAGACTAAAGTTTTTTTAGTTACAATGTACTGTAGACGTACTTTTTTCCACGGGGACATAATTCTCAATTTCTAAATCTCAATTTCTGTTTAATCCGCAGGTAGAAAAGTGCGCGGATTTCTTACACTGTCACTATATGCCTTGCATTTACATTAAGTACGCTTGGACAAATTTCCGCGGAAAATTTATGACTGCGTACCTAGCGTAAATTAATACCACACGGAAAAAAGTACTTCTACAGTATTTCATCTGTCTATTTATCTAGTGCTCTGTATTGTATTTTAATTATCCATTGTAACTCCAGTACTTGTCCTGTTTTAGATCCATGCCCGAGACAAGGGCAGTCCTCCCAGGACTGGATCCACCACCCTCATAGTGACCCTCACAGACTCCAACAACAAGGATCCATTCTTTACAAAACAAGTGTACATTGGATCAGTACAAGAGAGTAAGTACCCTCAATTAGCTTATATTCCTGCATCTAGAGTATCTCCAAAAATGTACATTGAAAAACTGTCTAATCTGCCACCTGTGCAGCCCCTTTCACTGTTAATTCTAAATAAGCTTTTTCATTCCATGTTATCTTTTTTCCTTGTTCTTCAACACTGTGATCTGACACCCTGTCTATTCTGTGGTCTATTTTACAGCTGTGTCTATTTTTGGTCTATTTTACAGCTGTGTCTATTGGGACATCTGTGATACAGGTGAGAGCTAATGACACGGACAGCACCAAGTCACTGCAGTATTCCATAGACAGACTCTCCATTATTGCCAAGAGCACAGACGGGACACAGATTAGAGCATTATATCCTTATGACTTCAGGGTAAGTCCAGAATGTTTGAAATTGTGTTAAAAGATACAAATACAAAATGCTTCCAAAAAGAAAACAGTAGCTCTTCTTTTACAGATATATTCCTTTAAAATATCGAAATGTGCATTAATAATTACTAAAAAATTATGATAAAGGTAAATATTTGTTCTATCTGTAGGAAGCCTTTGAGATAGAGCCTACCTCTGGAGTGATTAAGGTGAAATCAGCCCTTAGTCGAGACAGTGCAGCTGAGATAGATTTCAATGTTATTGTTAAGGATGTCAATGCTGAAAATAATAAAGAACAAACAGCCAAAGGTTAAAAATATTTTTTATTAAGAAAGTTTTTTTTAAATAGTCACAGTCTGCATTTACAGTATGTACCATAAAATGTTAATTAAATGCACTGCCTTACAAAAATTGCCCAAGTGTTTTATAGAAATTGTAAAATTTTGGTAACTGTTATATTTGAAATATTGAAATATAAAGAGGACTTACTGTAGACATACTTTTTTCCACGAGGTCATAATTACGCGAAATCTCAATTTCTGTTTAATCCACGGGTAGAGAATTATGCAGATTTCTTAGACTGTCACTATATGCCTTACATTTATGTTAAGTATGCTTGGACAAATTTCTGCTGAAAAATTTAACCGTGTACATACTTAAATTAATACCACGTGGAAAAAAAAAGTACTTCTACACGCATGCTATCCAATCCTGTTATGTTGATACATAATGAAATATTGTTATTAAAAAAAATTTGACATCATTATTCACACTACATGTAAAGATGTTTTGCACAAGAGTAATAGTCATTAATTTATTATTCTATTTTTAGCCCTTGTGTTGATAACGATCCTGGGATCTGCTGATCTGACCCCCTACTTTGCCCCTCCCTGGACAGTGACAAATCCTTCATATTATTACACCCTGCCTGAGGAGGTGGCCATCGGCACAGTGACGTCTACCCTTATAGCCACAGACCCCAAGGGACCATTCCAGATCACCAACTTCCAGGAGGTAGCTGAAGTGAATCAAGGCGATGTAGGCGATTACTTCTCTGTCAATCAAACAACAGGTATCTATTACTGTGATGATGAATCTTCACAAAAAATTCTTTGTGTACTTTGTGTATTAGATTACCCATGACAAAATCACTTACTACATGTTTACCAATACCATAATTAATAACTGGAATATTTAGGACAGTTTATTTTGTTACTTTTATGGAAATTCTTTTTTTTTAACTTTAAGTTGTTTGACTGTTACAGGGCAGATTAAAGTAAACAGACGTTTAGATTATGAGAACTTGAACTCCAAACTGATCAGATTCCGTGTACGGGCATTCTCTCAAGATGGCACCCGCAGTGTGGATGCTAACATCACCATTCAAGTTCAGGACATCAATGATAATGTCCCAGAATTCACACAAACAGTAGGACATATACTGGGAATTAATTTTGCAATTTGATTGGGGTATTAACAAAGTATTTTGTCCAAATGTTATTATGACATAGGAAAAAACTCAGTTGATATTTTTTTTCTTCAGAAATATACAGTCACTGTATCTGAGGACAGAGTTTATCCATATCAGATTGCTACAGTGTATGCTCGAGATAAAGACAGCGGAAGTTACTCCGAGATCGAGTACTCACTCAGCGGGCAAGGCTTTGACAAATTCATGATCTTAAAATCGGTAATCTTTATCTGTTTCTTTGTAAATAAACAAATACTATAAATTTATACACTATGTAATATTAAAAACTCTTTTTCCATTAGATAGAAGAAAGAAAAGCTGTTTCAAATCAGGGTGATTTTTTAAATAAAGATTTTTCATGAAAATGACTTTGAAAAAGCACCTGTATTTCAGAGTAATGAAGTTGGAGTTGTAAGTATTAGTCTAAGAATCAAGCTGATAAAAAGAGAAATGTGCAGATGCATGGCTCTTACATCTTATATGCATACCTACATCGTTTTGTAAGAAAATTAAAAAAAAATATTTATGAATGTTTGAAATTCGTTAAATAGTAGCATGCTCTTCTGACAATGTTCAATAGTTAGTATTTTGAGCATAGTTACCTGCCTTAGATCCTTAGATCTGATTAATTGTCAAGTATGCATATGATGCAAAAATTGTCTCTTGTCCAGATAGTGCAAAACATATATCAGAAAATAGGCATGATAATATACATTAAATTGCATGAAATAAGCTTTTTATGTGGTTGGCTTTTTTTAGACCAGAAAAGAGGATGAGGTGAAAAAACTTGTTTACATTTTGTTTCTAAATTGTCTGTTTGCATGCACTTATGATAGAGCTGGGTTATTCGATACAAAAAGGGAAAGGAATTATGTTTGGAGGAAAGCATTACTAGTGTGGTTGCTTTTTGCCCATGGCACCGGCCTGAGAATATGCCAAAGAAGCACGTTGTCTGAATGCTTTCACAAGTTGACAGTCATATTTATTGTCACTCCACAAGAACTCACTGTCATATTACAACTTATAGAAATGATTTTACTGTAGTCAATGCTATACAGTGTGGAATAGAGCATTTGTAAACTGCGCTTTGCTTTTGTTCTTTCTTTACAAGTGAACTAAATCTAAGAACCTATTTGTAGGGGCTGATTTTGATCAGTGATGGCACAGTTTTGGACCACGAGACAACCCAGGAGTATAATCTATTGTTAACTGCCCAAGACAATCCCTCCGCACAGTCCTCAGAAGTACGACAGAGGTCATCAGTACCTGTACGTATAGTATCTACTAAATAATCTAGCTGGAAAGTACCTAAGAAAAATCAGTACTTGTTCCTTTAGTATCTACCAATAATCCAACTTCTTAAAGGAGAAAAAGTGCATAATTTGAAAATCATCAGAAAATCATCAGATTTTCCAATTTCTCATTGAACTTTTCCTATGCATGAACAGACTTTGATTTTTTTTATTAACAGTTGACAATAAGAGTAACGGACATTAATGACAACCCCCCAGTGTTCTCCAGTAGGGAGTATTCATTCCTGACCGTGGAGAGCTATGATCTGAACACCAATATAGGAGAGGTTCGCGCCACTGACCTCGACAGCGGGGTCAACGGGGAGATTGATTACACCATTGTATCAGTAGACCCTGCTCCAAGAACACCAGGTTTGAAAATTCATCAACTCATCTTCTCAATGAAATTCAACAGCTCAGTTATTTTACTCCCGATGTGATATATATCAGCTATGCAGATTTTAGAGAGATGTCTTACCTACTTTATGGCCAGATTTGAGCCTTTCTGTACCTTGTTTTAACATCACTATGCAAAAAGTTACAAAAAAATTTTCAAAGCATTTGTAGAAATGCATGTATCTGTATGTGGTTTCTGATCCACCTTGAAACTCATATCAATTCAAAATGGATATCAGAGCATTGCCATATTATGTTGCCCTGTTTATTGAAAGTGATGAGTGAAGTGTAAATAAAGCTTTATTGTATATTACACTGTAAAATATTTAAGCAGAACAGACTTGCTTTTGGTTTCAAATACAATCCTGACTAAATTATTTTGTTATTTTGTAGAGGAGGACTACTTTGGAATTTCACCAGAAAGTGGGATGTTGTACAGCAAGAACTCCCTTAGGGGAGCCTCAGCTAAGTCCCCGTACAGACTGGAGGTTCATGCCCAGGACCGCGGCACCCCTGTCCTAATTAGTACATGTATCGTGTACATCAATGTCAGCAGTGGACAACTGGACAATGGAAAACCTATCTGGATCTCCCCACGATTCGGAGACTCCAATGTTGTAACTATTATGAACATAACTGAGGTAAGATCCGTTCTTTTTGTAATCTATTGTTATAGTAAAATAGTTGAAATTTATCAGTATATGTTTTTTTTAAAAGTTTGTACAGATTGGTTTGTTTTGTTTATTTCATTCTTAAAATTTGGGGTTCTTTGTTTCAGCATGCTGATATTGGGACCGCTGTGATCCGAGCCATAGCTGTACCCCGAACTCCGGGGGCCTCCATTGAGTACTCGATCCTCAGTGATAACGAAGACGTATCTGAGTTTGTCATTGACCCGGTCACAGGGATCGTCACCGTGGCCCGTAATCACACACTGGACAGAGAGAAACAAGAGACCCATGATGTAAGTCATAATTAACCATTATATGTTGATATCTGATTAGGAAAGGCCAAATTCAAATGAGATGGCACATTTACATTCTGCTATTTTATCTGGAAAAATATTGAAGAGCATGTACATATATAGCAATAAATTCTGATCCTTTTTAAAGATAAGAAAATTTCTGCACAACAAAAAGTATCTTTCCAATATTTTGAAAAAGCTCTATAAATGTAAATCTGTTATTTTCAGTTGATCTTACTTGCGACCGATACATTAAACAGAACTCTACAGAGTACACGACTTCTGTCCATTAAACTACAGGACATAGATGATGAAAACCCTTCCTTCAAAAACTGTCCGGATAGACAGGTAAGAATTACAACAAAGGTGGAATAAGTCACTGATCTGACTATCTACCAGTATTGTCCCTGCTTGTGACTCATTGTCATTGTATAGCCATGATATGAAATCAGATACTCTTAAAATAATTTCACTGATTGACTCTTTGATGTGTTTTTCAGTATGACATTCCTACCGAGACGTCTGTCCGTGAGAGTGAGCCCATAGGGACGGTAGTTTACACAGCTCAAGCTTGTGATCTCGATCTCGCTCCCTACAACTCGGTCCAGTACAGCTTCTACACCAATGACAGCTTGTACTGTAAGCTATCTTGTTTTCCTGGGATAACATTAAGTGGAAGGGGCATTTCTCAAAAGCATTTGTTATAAATTTATACAAAAAAAAAACAAAGAGGACAATATGGAAGAAATAAATGATGTTCCCTTCCCCTTTTGATGCTTTAACTTTGCAAATGATTAAGTTACAATTTTGACTAAAACACAGAATTAGAGAAAATAAATTGTTTGTATTTTCAGGTTACTCTAACATCTCCCAGAGCTTTAAAGTTAATGCAGCCACTGGAGAAATCACCACTAACCAAGTTCTTGACCGAGAATCTCAGGCTAGGTACCTCATCTGTGTCCAGGCCAAGAAACCCGGCAGTCGCAGGAAGCGGTCACTTCCCAGTAAACAGGAGCTGGAGACGCACCTACAGCAGTACGCCGAGGACGACGTGCTGTTCCTCCTGGTGTCCGTGTCGGACGTTAATGACAATAAACCAACATTCTCCCTAACCAGCGACTACACTTGTAAGTCAACAGTCATGGGTGATCGGAGAAAATATATCAAGTAATATTTGACATGCCCAGCCATGTATAGGCAAAATGTTTTTCATGTGTCTTCTTCTTGTAGGTCCATCAAACTATATGTATCCTTTTGATTAAAGCTCTGTTTCAAAGACTCTATTATGTCGTTATGCAAGATATTTTCTCAAATTTCATACCTAGATCTTGTTAAGAGCAAAGCAAATGTTTTAATGACTTTATTTTCATTAAAACAAAATTGATATATGATGCTTTTATTTTTTTTAAAGATATATTTGCCTATCCCACAAAGGACAATGTTTATCAGCTGACTGCCAGTGACCCTGACGTTGGGGACAAAGGACGAGTTCGTTATAGCATCATTCACTCCCAGTACATCAACACTGCCAAGAGCAGGAACATTTCTGTGTTTGATGCATTCAAGATAAACACTGAAACTGGTCAGATCTCAGTTGGCTTTCAAGCCTATAAGTATTTCATTGGAGGGTATTTTGAACTGACCATTAAAGGGGAAGACTACCTCAGATCGGAGATGTACAGTACATACAACTTAAAGGTATGAATGTGCTAAAAATAGACTTCTATTTTATTAACAAAGGGTAAAATATGCATAGATCAATGCATGAATGTTAGTTTACTGTAAATCACTTTTTATTTGTGAGAACTTTATTTTCATGTAATTACGAAAGACAGTGTGCTTGCGAAATTTAATTCTCATGTATAATAGTATTCCTTAGGATATATAAAGCAATAACCACCATTCATGAAAATTTTGTCTTGCTTATCAAGAGTCAATAACTATCTCGCGTAAATAGGTGTTGCAAAAATTAGTGATCTACAGTATAAATGAAACTCATTTATTGTTCTCTCAGTCTGAAAAAATATTTAATTTAAAATGTTCACAAAGTTTGTGCCGAAGTACCCACATATTTTCTTGATGGGAGAATATATCACTTACATTATTGGTCTACCCTGTTTAGATTTACATTGGAGAGAAATCCAGTCAGGTTCGAGTTGTGATGGCTTCAAATTTAAATAGTGACCAGCAGAAGTTTGTAGATGAGCTGGAAAGGTCAGTAATGGTGCACACATGAGTCATGAAAAATAACCCATCTTTTCATTGCTGCTTCTGAAAGTGTCATTGAGGTCATGACATGTATATAATTCAATGTAAATGTAGAAATGAATGAATTGGTATAACTACTTCATTTGCTTATCCTTTTTATTCATTTGGGTTTGTAAAATCAAAAGATGGCCTAAGCACTTTTATTGTTTATGAATATGATTTTAAACAACACAATGTAGGAATGTGGTGAAATATTTTTAATGTCAGCATATACTTTTTTCAGGAGTCTAAACAGCAATCCTGATTCTGTGCTGTACATTCCTACAGACACCCGCTACCATGTGACAGCCACGGGCACCAGTGCTAACCAGTAAGATAATGATTTATTGTGTACCAATCATAATTTATGTTTTATTATTGTGAATAAACACTCAAAGTTAATTTTTGATATGCCACTTATTTCCCTTTCATTTCCTGAAAAATGAATGTTGACTTATGTAAATTTTACCCCAATATCCTCAAGAAATAAATATGTATTTGAAAAATATATACTTATTCATATGTTAACACTTAGTTTATAGAGTGGTTAAGTTTTTGTTTTCTGTCTGTTCCTATTTTTGAAAAATGAAACATACTTACAGTTATAACATATTAAGTTTTATACACAAGTATATTATGAAGACTGTAAGATTGAGTGTGAAGAATTTTTACTTTAAAATCATAGTATTAAAAGCTGTTATTCTTCTTTCAGGATAGATATCTGTTTCTTTGTTGTGAGAAATAATCGTGTTGTGGATTCCTATGATGGAACAGCAGCCCTAGGTGATGTCCAGTCAGTACTTACCTCTAAGAATCTCTACAGTCCAGGGGTAAGTCCTGTCTACTTATTTACAAATGAACTAGCCGTCTATGTGCTTTTATTCAAAATACAGTGGACCTTCAGATATCGGGACGCCAGATATCCGGATGCTTCAGTATCCGGACGATTTTTTATCGGAACGAAATTTTTAAATGTTATTTTGTCTTGTTTAACGGGTGATTCAGATATCCGGATGCTTCACTTATCCAGACAAATTGACTGGGAACCAAAGCGTCCGGATAAATGAGGGTCCACTGTATTTATCTGCTGTGTGAGACCTTGGTTTTATGGCATTGTTCAGCTTTTCTGTTGTGCTTTTTATTGAACAGCTTCAAAAAAATAATGATTTGATTTATATGCCCATTGTACCAAGGTCTTGTTTCATCTTTCAGCCCTGCGAGCCAGCCACCACTAAGACATTAGAGGGCTGGTCAGCTTTCTGGTGGGTCCTCGTGGCCTTTGCCATCTTCATGTTCGTCATCATCGTCATCCTGATTTTCGCTGTGAATGTCCTTTATAATGAGTAAGTCAAGAGCATTTTAAATGTTACTGGATTGGAGAATGGAAACATTTTTTCCATATTAGATTTTGTACAAATGCTAAACAATAAGATTATCTCTTCATATATATTCAAACAATACTTTAAACCAACTTTTATTATCAACATCCTCATTCACAATTCTTCAGACTGGAATCCAAAGTATGCTAATTTTCATGACTAGACAAATAATTCATTCAGAAGAAATTTTTACAAAAAAATAAAGGCTACAAACCTTGTGGATATATCTCTTTTACAGATGAAAGTTGGTTTACAGTAATAGATTCATGTATACTGTTTTGAATTTGTAAACTTTCGGAAGTGTTATGCACATTTCTGTATTATTATTTTTGCTTTTTCAGCTACAAAGATTCAATGCAAGCAAGAACAAGTAAGTGTGATTTCTATCTGATTGATGGCAATTATTGATTTAAATGTCAGTTAAGAAATTCATAAATTGTAACAAGCCTTTAACTTAAATTTAGAATACAAACTTATTCAAGGTTCTTTTGACTTTCAGCTATGCACATAGTTCAGTGATGTCAAAAGACTTTTAAAGAGTGGCTATGAAATTAAATTTTGAAAAGCGAGGAGAGTCTACCCATCTTGACTGGAAATCCTTGTTTTCGCATAGCTTCATGTTCCAAGCATACTGATTTCACAACACATAGAGGAAAAAAATTAATTAGGAAAAGAGTTAACAAGAAAACTGTATGAGAAATGTTAATTTTTGTCAGAGGAAAGTTAAAATATTATGCCTCACTCATGTTTGTGTCTGAGAGTTATCACAACTGTTAGAGGGGAGGGGAGTTTGCTTAATGTGAACATGTTGCTTGCCATAAATTTAGGAAGTTTTTTGAATGAATGTTTTTGAGTGTGAGAGGATAGTGAATAGTGCTGTTTGATTGTGGAAAAATGATAAAATATATGCTGTGATGACACTGGAGGGTTATTGCTCACTATAATACCCTTTCATTTGTGTGATAGCAATAACAATTATATCCAAATATCAAGCTATACAAACATTCCAACTTCTTGTAGTAATATTCCAAGGACTGCTTTGAGAGTTTTTTGAGAATTCGAAAAAAAAATTTATCTATGTAAGAAAATGATTCATTTATTGAGAACAGGAAAATTTTGTTATTGTTAACCTTTGTCTCGGTTAGTGATGTGTATTGTCATATATTTTTATATTATTTATACATATTTTTGTACTATGATGCAATTTTGATAAAAATATTTTTATTCAAATGAACTGTGTTGTGCTTTTTTTCTCTGATGAGGAGCTTGTTTGAGCAGCTAAATGGTAGTCTGTCATTTATCCATAAACATACACTAACTTTATATGCAAATTACATATACTACAACTTTCTGCATGATTATCCACATTTATGGCATGAACAGTAACATTTTTTTAAGGAAATGGGGAATATTTGGAGAGTTACGAGGGGGTATCAAAAAGTTCGGGGACTGGCGCCACGAAATTAAAACCGGTGTAGGTACATCAATAAATTTTAAAATATTTTGTAAGCATCATCTTTTCTATCTATAAATTAAACCAAAAATCATGAATTTTATTTCTAATAATGTCCAGGCGGCGCAACCTCGAACATGACGCTTTTTCGATCTTGGTGTTGCTGAGAAAAAGCTCTTTTGTCACGAACATTTGACGTCTAAAACTTCAGTTAAATTAGGTATGTGCAATTTATACTTCATTCTGTAAATTCTATAAAATTTTATCGTGAATTTTGTATGTAGTGTTCAAACAATTAAGGGCTTGAAAATCACGTCAAAAAGGGGGAGGGGGTTCTTTTTCCAACATTCTATAGAGTTTTGTCCCTGATAAAAAAACTGGTATAGACCTAGGAAATGTTTAAACTGGCTACAGAGAAATAAAATGCATCCAGAGTACTTGTTTTTTTAATACCAAAATAGATTCAGAGAGAAAAGTGGTGCACAGGTATTATAAATGTTCAATTGTAGTCAAGGTTCGAAAAGCCAATAACGTCACAAAAAAGACGTTGATCATGTGTTGTAGATATTAAACCCCCAAACGTAAAATCTGCTGATATAACGAAGCGAGGATCTTTCGCAATGCATAAATCTATTTGCAACATTTTATGCATTGAAAGCCATTGTTTATAACATTGTAAAGTTATAAACAAGACGGGTTTCAGTCCTTATTCAACTCCAAGGAATCTCTTCGATATACATGTTTGAGATAGAAGAATCAGACATTGAAAAACAATGGCGTTGTCGTACGTCATGAAACTAAACGGCGACAGCGCCGGGTGATCATATAATTTCATATTTATTTTATAATAATTTGGCAAATAATAAAAGTATGAAGCTAAAATTTTCAACTTTTCATTTTTTTGTTGTTTTATGTTCCTTATAAAGTTTGAGAGCATGGACCACATAGTATTAATTTTATCGCCTCAGTCGGCGAACTTTTTGATAACTCCTCGTATGCTCTTCAATCAGACTGTCAGTCTGTCTCTTCCACCCCACCACCCGGAATTAAATCATGTTTCACAGAACAAACATTCCTCTCCCCCCATCACGTTTTATAAGCCTGAGTTTTAGACTGCTCTGAAAGTTTTCTATTTTTGTTTTTGTGATAGACAAGAAGAGTTTGTCAGTGGTATTCCAACAGAAATCATTGATTTGAACATTTTTTTTGTATGGCTAATGTTACTGATGACATCACCCTGTTGAGAGGTAATTGTAACCCCCCACCCCCACCCCCACCCCCCCCAAATCCGTAAGCCCTCTACTTTCTCTTGTTACATAAATTAACTGGAAATACTATCATTGATTAATATATCTTTGCTTTATCTTTAAAGGGTGTATATAACCTGAATAGATACATCAGACGCATTAGTTAATTTCGGAAACTCTGTTCACTATCAGTATCCAGTACCAGTACTTTCACTTTATCTTCTTGGAAAATTAATTTGAAAAAAATTATTGTGTAATTCTTAAAAATAGTAACGTTTAACATGTAAATAACAACAAAATACCCGTCCGCTGTTGTGAGGTGCACAGAACGTAAGAGGGTAAGACACTGAGTGAGTATTGAACATGACTTTGGAACTGAGACCAAGTGATATCTATTTTTCTCAGGCAACAATTAAGGACCATTTTAGGTTTGGCTTTCGTACTATATATGGAACTCTGGAAGCCTGTATTGAAGATAGCACTGTGATAGACAGTATTCCGAAAATCACCGTGTGTAGAAGAGACGGGAAATGGTTCACACTGGACAACAGACGACTGTGGGTGTTCAGACAGTTGGAGTCCAAGGGAAGATTGTATAAGATCTCCGTGTATCAGTCCGATTCCATCCCTGACTGCAAGTACAACACCCAGAATGGGGGGACATCTGTCGAAATACTGAAATGGTGACGGTCGTCCATGTAAAGATTTTTTGGCCTTTTTGGAGGATTTCTTTTTCAATAGAAACTTATGAATTTTATCCACGTCTTCTTAACATAGAAAACAGGAAATCCTTAATTAAGGTACTTAGTACAAAGAAGAGGATGCTTACTGGAAATTCCGTTGAGTGTTTCCACTTGCGCAGTGATAAGGACTAATTACTTTAAGTTTTGTTGATGTTATTTAATTAATTAACACATACAGTATTTTAGCTACATTGCACATGAAAAATTAATATATTGTTTCATATCTCTTATAACTACCGGGAAGTCTACATGTATATGTTTGTGTGAGATATATATAATATATATTTATTAGTCCCCTACCGGTGAAACCGGAGGGGACTATAGGTTTCCTCTGCGTCTGTCCGTCCGTCTGTCTGTCTGTCCCCGTCTGTCTGTCAGTCGGTCCCACTTGGTTTTCCACACTTTTTTTCTAAATGCTGGCAGATATTGAGCTGATTTTTGGTATATGGGTGTATCTTGATGAATTACAGATCAAGTTTGAATATCGTTCCGATTCAATGATTTTTTACGGAATTACGGCCTTTTCAATTTTTCAGGGTTTTCCGCACTTTTCTCCTAAACGCTTGCAGATATTGAGCTGGTTTTTAGTACGAGACTTTACCTTAATTAGTTACAGATCAAATTTGCATTTTGTTCTGCTTAATTGATTTTTGAAAGAATTATGGTATTTTTATTTTTTTAAATTTAAATATAGGGTTCGTGATGCACTACATTTATGTCGTGATGCACTCAATTTATGTTCTAAACGAGATTGTCATAAACTGAAACTTGCTTGATAGCTTTTATAAATTGATTAGTTATGGATCAAGTTTGCATTTCGTTCTACTTCATTGGTTTCTGATGGAATTGTGGTATTTTTTTTAATAATTGGGTTCACAATAGGGTTTGTGATGCACTAAATTAATGTCGTGATGCACTATTGGATTAATGTTCTAAACGAGATTATCATGATTTGAAACTTGCTGGATACCTTTATAGTACAGGCACCTGACGTTACTTATTTTTCTTTTAATAAAAAAATATACCCTTACCTTACAATAAACCCGGTTTATCATAAGGTAAGGGTATATTTTTTTTATTAAAAGAAAAATAAGTAACATCAGGTGCCTGTGCTTTATAGTTACAAATATAGATCAAGTTTGATTTTTTCTGGTATAAAATTGTTGTTCAACCATGTAAAGTAAGCTGTTCTGATCAAGGCATTCGTGTGTGTCAAATGGCATTCAAAGACGTCACGAGTCTTTCTTTGTAAGGCAGATCCAAAAGATTTCATTTATATTCAAATAATAACTGAAATTTCCATATTTATGTAACAATTTTTCATACACAGGCTCTAATAAAATGACACCCCAAAGAAAAAGGGGAACCCGGTAGGGGACATGTATTGCTTATGCAATACTCTCATTTATTTTATTTTATTATTTTTTTTTTAAGTTCTTGAAATATAATTTTTTTAATCTCTATCCACTTGCTATTCGGTTATTCTTTCTGCATGTAAAGTATTCAACACAGATTACATGTAAGTCATGTCAGTTTACTTCCTCCTTGTCAGTTGTTTTATTCCTAGCTGCAGACCTGTAGCGTTATGGTTTTATATAATATTTGTCTTTGACCATAACGCTGCATGTACAGATCCCGTAATGCGAAAAAGGTGCAATTTACGGCGCAATATTTTTTGCGCTCTTTTGTGGAGAATTTCTCCACTTTCCAGCATTGGTCAATCAACTACCTTTCAACCCCTAATTCTAGACACATTATTTAACTAATCTGTGTATTTTATCCATCTCCCAACCCTTTATAGTCGTCTCTACAAGTGATAAACTCGCTTGATTAAAATTATTTGTTAAATTACTGAAAATTTACTTCAATTTAGCGAGTTCATTGCCTGTGGAGACAACTATAAATGGTTGGGAGGTGGATAAACTATACATATTGGCTACAGAATGTGTCTAGAATTAGGGAGTGAAAGGTAATTGATTGACCAATGCTAGAAAGTGGAGAAATTCTCCCCAAAAGAGCGCATTCATTCATTCTTTATTTCCACTATTACAGTGATTAATGAAAATTGAACAAACACACAAAAAATGATATCACATATGAGATAAATAGATGAATTGCATGCAAACACCACATATAAATATATAAAGAAATATATATATATATATATATTTACAATGTTTTAGATCACAAAATCATTTGGGATCATTACTTCATACACATGTATATATATATATGTCCTCGCGTGAAAAAAAAAATCTATTAATGAACTTTGAGAATAAGAAGTAAAGGAGCTGGAAGCATCCCTCATTGGCAGATTTGCAGTGCGGAAAGATTGCGCTTATAAAAGGCACACGCATCGACAACGCAGCGAAAGTTTCGTAACTGGAAGTTTCGGAGGTTGAAGGCGGATAGAATGGTGTTCGGCTTACGGCCTAGAAGAATCATGTACAGTTCATCATCAGTAAGGGCACACAGTTCAACACACAGGTTAATGTCAAAGTAGTTAATTACATCCTCCCACCACTGATTGCGTATATCACATGTGATACGACAGGTACAAGACGCATGGTTAAATACTAGTAGATCAACGTACAGAGATCCACAAAGGGGACAAATTTCTGTAGTTTCTCGAGGAGATTCGGAGACTAATTTGCAAATGAATTTGCACAACGAAATCTCATAACAGTCTTGGGGTAGTCGCCAGAATAAAGCAGGATTTCCATCCTGAAATATTTTCCGGAAACGGACGAATCCAGGATCATCTGAAACACGTGTGTCTCTCCGGAGCTTATTATATCGAAAAGTAGCAGATCTCACAATTTGTTTCCAGGCAGGCTTTGAAGGAAATGAGGCACCTGTAAGCCACTCACTCACATACTGGCAAAGGTCGTAAGTACACAAAAGAATCAGAATATCCGGAATAAAACCTAGCTGTTTATGAGCGATCCCTGCCAAGTAAGAAAACAGTCTAGTTAAGAAGATTTTCTTCGACAGAGTTTTGTATTCCAGGCGACACAGACGACCAAAAAATAGAAGCTTCCTTGCATCAATCTCGGCTTGTATTGGAAGAACTTCAAAAAGGCTTTCACAAATGTCAGACCTTGTTTTTGTAGGTAGATTCTGGGCGTTTTTAACCACTAGATGTTGGAAGACATTCAAGCGATGTAAATCATTTGAGGCCATGCCATTCCATAATTCACATCCATAGAGTACCGATGGTAAGACAATTGATTTGTAGAGATGAGAAAGTGTTAAAGGGTTCAGGTATCGAGATCCAATATCATTCAGGGCGAAATACGAGTTTTTCCCCTTTCGACATGCAGAAATTATCCTATCTGAAAGATTGCACTTATCATTGATAAGAATACCGAGATGATTACAGTTGTCTAGGCAAGGAATGGTTTCGTTTCCCAAGAACCATACATAGTCGAAGTGTTCTCTGACATTTTTCGCACGGAATCTCAGAATGCAGGATTTTTGAGCATTGAACGTGAATCGCCATCTCCTGGAATATTCGAATGCAATGTTCAGCATTGTTTGAAGGGATGTAGGTGAAAGTCCTATGCATGCTAGATCATCTGCCAATGAGGGACAACTACATGATATATTAAGAATGCCCGAGTGATTGGATGATTTTTCTAGAATATTAATCAAATCGTTAATGTACACAAGATACAAGAATGTAGAAAGGACACCGCCTTGCCTAACGCCCTGCTGGACAGGAAACCACCTTGACTGAGTTTGATTAACTATAATAGCACTTGATGTATCAATGTGACAGTCCTTTAGTATAGACCAAAGTTTTCCTGTTACACCCAGTTCATACAATTTCAATAAAAGAGCATGTCTCCATACAGTGTCAAATGCCTTTGTACTATCTAAAAAACTAACATAAACATTGCTACCCTGTTCTAAATTGTGAAAAATAGTTTCATGTAAGTTGAACGATGCCGTCAAACAACCTAGCTTCTGTTGAAAACCTTGCTGTTGGGGATTTGGAAATAATTTATCAACTAATACATGTTCAGAAATACGGGTATAAATTATGCTTTCAAAAATCTTTAAAAAGCATGACAATAAAGCGACTGGTCTGTAGCTATTGCACGAAGTTTTAGATTTATCCCCACCCTTGTATAACGGTACAACGAATCCCCGTTTCCATGCACAGGGTATCATCCCATGCAGCACAATAGCATTGAACATTTTCACAGTACAAGCAAGGGCACCTTACAATAAACCCGGTTCATCATAAGGTAAGGGTATATTTTTTTTATTAAAAGAAAAATAAGTAACATCAGGTGCCTGTGCTTTATAGTTACAAATATAGATCAAGTTTGATTTTTTCTGGTATAAAATTGTTGTTCAACCATGTAAAGTAAGCTGTTCTGATCAAGGCATTCGTGTGTGTCAAATGGCATTCAAAGACGTCACGAGTCTTTCTTTGTAAGGCAGATCCAAAAGATTTCATTTATATTCAAATAATAACTGAAATTTCCATATTTATGTAACAATTTTTCATACACAGGCTCTAATAAAATGACACCCCAAAGAAAAAGGGGAACCCGGTAGGGGACATGTATTGCTTATGCAATACTCTCATTTATTTTATTTTATTATTTTTTTTTTAAGTTCTTGAAATATAATTTTTTTAATCTCTATCCACTTGCTATTCGGTTATTCTTTCTGCATGTAAAGTATTCAACACAGATTACATGTAAGTCATGTCAGTTTACTTCCTCCTTGTCAGTTGTTTTATTCCTAGCTGCAGACCTGTAGCGTTATGGTTTTATATAATATTTGTCTTTGACCATAACGCTGCATGTACAGATCCCGTAATGCGAAAAAGGTGCAATTTACGGCGCAATATTTTTTGCGCTCTTTTGTGGAGAATTTCTCCACTTTCCAGCATTGGTCAATCAACTACCTTTCAACCCCTAATTCTAGACACATTATTTAACTAATCTGTGTATTTTATCCATCTCCCAACCCTTTATAGTCGTCTCTACAAGTGATAAACTCGCTTGATTAAAATTATTTGTTAAATTACTGAAAATTTACTTCAATTTAGCGAGTTCATTGCCTGTGGAGACAACTATAAATGGTTGGGAGGTGGATAAACTATACATATTGGCTACAGAATGTGTCTAGAATTAGGGAGTGAAAGGTAATTGATTGACCAATGCTAGAAAGTGGAGAAATTCTCCCCAAAAGAGCGCAAAAAATATTGCGCCGTAAATTGCATCTTTTTGCACTACGGGATATGTAGCGTTATGGTCAAAGATAAATGTATAAAACCATAACGCTACAGATCTGCAGCTATTTTATTCTATATTAAAGAAGTATACACCTACACATCAACCATTTTCATTACAATTTTCGTAGTAAAAATTTATTCTTAAACAAAAATTAGCCAGTGCCCTGGATCCGATGCAGGTTATTGACTTCAATTATAACTCGACAATCAAAGACTGGGTTATAAAGTCCTTTAAACATCTCATATCAGGAGCAAAACACACATGGACCTTAGAGGCGTGATCAGGTGCCGTGGAGGAATGAGTACTAAAAGAAAAGTCTTGTCACAATAAGTACACCTGTGAAATATGAAAGCCATAGCCCCATCCAGTCAAAAGTTATGGGCAAGATTAAAGTTTTTGCAACCAACAGACAGACGGACTGCATGACAGGGCAAAAACTTTACACCCCCGGATATTTCTTTTACGGGGGCATAAAAAACACAGATAACTGCAATAAAATGTAAACAAAGGTAATACAAGTCGTGAAGATAACCATAAAGCAGTCAGGTGAAATGAATGCGAAGAGTACACCCCACTGCTAATATCGCAGATAATAATTTGAAAAATTTTACGAGTTGTGTTCAGCTTTAAGGTCAGGTGAAATATCCCTCTCATAGGTGTCGGAAGCACATTAAAAGTGGGGGGGGGGGGGGGGCAAAACCAACGAAAAAAGGTAAGCCCCAATTTTCAATGCTTATATAATGTCTATCTTTGAAACAAAAATGTGGGGGCGGGGGAGCTTAGCCCCCTCCCCCCCGTTCCGACGCCTAGTGCCTCTGCTCCAGATTTTTTTTTTAAATTCCCGGCATTAATTTTCAACAACAATAGCATTAGATTCAAATGGAAAATAGTTTTACTATGAAGCGTTGCTTACTTTTTCCGAAAGATCAGTGATTTTTTTTATCTCACAATAAAATCTGTGCTTCTAAATATTTACAAGAGTTATCTTTCTATGCATTATCGTTCTTGAAAATATTTTTTGGTGAAAATTTTTTTAATTAATTAATTTTTTTTAAACAATGCATCTAAAATTTTTAAAACAAGTAAAAGAATTATACGTGAAAATTAAAAAAAAATCTTAATTTTTACAGTTTAAAGCAAATAAATATAAACTTTTTATGTAAACTATTATAAATAATTTTTTAAAATGTTCGCAATAGAAAATGAAACTTCAAAAAGTTCATTATGAAAGTGTCTATTATACTATCTATGTAGTTTTTGAAGGTCAAATACAAAGACCACGAAAAAAAATAGTAAGAACAAAGCAAACAATCGAACCAGAATAATAAATATCAAATAATACCTATGTCAGGAATTTTGAAAATTAAATTTATATAAAGTTGCTTTTTCAAAGCAAATACATGTATAATTTATCTTTAAAAAACACGTAATATTACAAATCAAAAACTTGACATTTGTAAGTCTATTCTGAGTTTATGGCCTTGTGGCCAAGTCTTCCAACAACAATCTGAAGGCATATGCACCCCTGTTGTAACAGACCTATTAATGGTATTCTTAAGGCCGGTATACACGGTAAGATTTGTATTATAAGATGTGTATTATAATACAAAATCTTACTGTGTATACACTCTTAATTAATACAGTGTATCATAAGATTTTTCGAATCTTATAAAACTGAATTACGAATTGCTCTATTTCCTCACTCTCTACCATCGGCTCATACATTCACGTGTCTAAAAGGAACGAACGACAACTCTGCATCGGAGATTGCTATTTCCTAATACAAGTCTTATCTAACTTATCACTTTCAACCGGACAAACACCACTAAATGTTTTCCCATAGACTTCCATACAAACTTCAGCCCCTGTCACTCATACATATATTGAATTTCGGGCAAATGGCCTTTTTGTCGTGAAAGTTCGAGATATTGGAAAACAAAACATGCCAGAAAAAATATACCGTCACGCGGCACTTTTACTTTCAATTTCCATTTGTTTACAACAAGGTGCGTTTGACACCAAATGAAAATCTCTAACCAAAGGGCACCCCTCCCTTCAAATTTTTACCTGTAACTCCTATATATCTCAAAGAAACCCAAGTCTTGATATGAGATTTTTATCAACTTTATTTCACTTGTCAAATACATAACAAGTCTTTTCTCTTATTGACCAATCACGCGCCAGGTAGCATTTTCTCCTCCGCACAACCTTGGGTGTGTGTCCAAAATGTCTGCGCCCATGTGTTTGTTTATGTAGGGGTTTTTCCTATAGAGTAAAAGAAACATTTATAAAAAGTGGTCAATTTAGTATTTTTAGAACACATATCCATTGCTTATCTCACCTCTTGAATATTGGGACTGACAGTCTTAGCTGAAGTACACCATTGGCTGTTACATTTCACACCCCAGTCAATCAGACACACATCTGTGAAACAGAAAAGATGTCTAGAAATTGAAGCAATTTTCTATTTTTCTTTCAAACTTTTCAAATAAAATGATTAATCTAGCATATGTTTTGCTTGTTTTTCTTATTATCTCTCATAATCTCTCAAGATAGATCATGTTAATCATTCAGGGTAGCAGGTACCCGTTATTAATGAAAAATGAAGAAAATCAGCAGGTTTTTGTAAGAAAATGCTGAGTTATGGAAAGAGCGAAAACTAATGTAGATAAAATAATCAATAGAAAGAAAGAGAATTATATGTAGTTTCAATGCACATAATATTAAAAAGAATTTCATTGGCAATGGGTTGCTGGCATCAGAGAATCAAATACGTCCCCACTGAGAATTTTGTAATTTTGAAGGGGGGTGACCTACATTTTAGCCAATTTTCATGAACATTTTATGTAATGGATGTTAAATATGTATATTCTCATGAAAGGCAAAGATATTCATTTGCATATCATTTCTTATTATTGACATAATTAATAAATTGATTAAATGCCAAGGGCAGATAAATCATATTGTCTTATTGAATACAGTGCTCAATTGTAAGCAAAGTGCTTAAATAACTGCAGTTCTGAAGAAATTTATTTTCTAATAATCTATAAAAAGTTCTAAATAACTTAAATATTCATAGATTAACTAGATTGGCTAGGAAAACCATACCTTGGAACTCTTAATGAAAGCAAAGGGACCATCCTGAGAGTGTCCATGTGTTGTTCATTGTAAGAGGGGAGGGTTCATTAATCTCTTCCTTCTTGAGAATACATTGCTGAAATATATTTTATTTTATTAAAACATACTGATAAATGCATGTAGTAGCTTATATTATAATTTTTTATTATTTACATCATCTTTTGAATTTTTTATAAGCATTAGTGATGAAATAGCTTTAAAATAATCATGTTTAAATAGAATTTACTCAGATAATTATTTTAAAAAATATCTAAGAAATTGAAAAAATAACTGCAGATAAGCACGACTCTTGTTGTTCAAATAAACCACATTTTAAAAAAATTCCTTCATTTTCCAGCATCATTAGAGTACAAAATTACCCCCCCCCCCCTCTTTTCTGCAGAATATCAAGATTGGATATGGCAAGGAGGAAGGATATTCAGGCACTTTTTCATAATTTTTGCAATAATAATTTTGCAAATTTCTTGTATTTTCAATGTATTTTCTGCTAAAATATATTTTACAGTAATTTAAATTAAATTTCCTACTAGTAATCTCTAATGTTTTCCCCAAAGTATAACTTTTATATCAAGCCAGCACTGATTACATGACTGGAACTGCCTTTGTTGCTGGATTAGGCCCCTTATATAAAAACAAAGTAACCTAATTACTTAACAGCAGTCTAATTTTGTTATAAATTATTCAATCAACTCTGATTTACACAAATTTGAAAGAGGATTAGTCAATCTGTTCCAATGTCTTCACTCATAAAATACATGGATTTAAATGAATTTCTCAAACTGCGAGGGGGATATTCATATGTTTTGTGTATTGATGATGCCCATAAACCTCAATATTGTATTATTTACAATATTCACAGTAAATTTCAGCATAAATATTTATTTAAAATCATTTACATGTACATTTATTGAAAATATGAGAGCTAGGGCAAAAATTTTGGCATTTTTTCACCATGTGCAGTCCCCATTGTTAGCTTCAATTTACCCAAACCCTCTAATTTTTTAAGAAATAGTAAAAATTAACTAAAATATGATCTCAATGCCAAAAAGATAGGAACTGATTGATTTTGTGACTGTAATCAATGTTTTTCCATGAAATACATACCTATTCTATAGGACAAACACCACTAAATGTTTTCCCATAGACTTCCATACAAACTTCAGCCCCTGTCACTCATACATATATTGAATTTCGGGCAAATGGCCTTTTTGTCGTGAAAGTTCGAGATATTGGAAAACAAAACATGCCAGAAAAAATATACCGTCACGCGGCACTTTTACTTTCAATTTCCATTTGTTTACAACAAGGTGCGTTTGACACCAAATGAAAATCTCTAACCAAAGGGCACCCCTCCCTTCAAATTTTTACCTGTAACTCCTATATATTTCAAAGAAACCCAAGTCTTGATATGAGATTTTTATCAACTTTATTTCACTTGTCAAATACATAACAAGTCTTTTCTCTTATTGACCAATCACGCGCCAGGTAGCATTTTCTCCTCCGCACAACCTTGGGTGTGTGTCCAAAATGTCTGCGCCCATGTGTTTGTTTATGTAGGGGTTTTTCCAACCAATGAAATGTATTGAAACTAGGGCTCATCCTATGTTTATCATTACTAAAAAAAAAAGGCACATGGTAAATAATAATGGTCGACATTACAAAAAAAGACCTCGAAAAACTCGTGGCTTAATGGGAAGGGGAAAAGGAAGTGTGGAATATATCAAGCAGCGCATAGTACGATGATAGACACTGCTATCAGAGCCTCGAATCCTTCATTTTTATTACTTTGACAGAGAGAGAAATATGACGGGGAAAAACACGTTGGAATACGTAGTTTATTTACAACCTTATAAGATATGTATTAGCGTGAGCACAAGAAAGTATTATGATACAAAAGTATTAAATCATTTGTATTATACTACAAATCTCATCGTGTATACCGGCCTTTAAGAAACAGAATCTATTTTAAAAACTAGAGAAGTAGAAATTAAAGACTTGCTGTGGCCTATCATATTTATCAATTAACATAGCTGCAAAACAAAATGGTTTTAGATATTAGTCTTACTTTAATTTCAAGAGGAAAATGACAAAGTTCGTGATGACTGATGAGGCAAGCCGAAGAATTAAAGAGATGAAAGAATCTTTAGATGATCGAGAGGATGAAATAGAACTGCAAATACAGCATAAAAGAGAAAATCGCGAAAAACTCAAGCAAATTGATGAGCTTGAAAAAATATTCAAAAAGCCGAAAAGAGGTAGATCTGTTCTTCAAGAAACCAACAAAGAACTTTTTAAAAGACATAAAACTGAACAATCTGGAGAGAGGGTAAAGGTAAGTCGGAGGTGGCGGATCTAAAGAGGGAATTGCATGATGTCTACCAAAGTCTGGAACAAATGAAGAAAGAAACTAAAGCAAAGCTCTTTGCAAAGCAACGAGTAGGTCTTCCGTCCTGTTTGACCGGAATTAGCTTTCATTTTTAACAAAATGAGAAATAACGCCCAAAATGGTTTGAATCCTCTAAAGCTATGTTAATTAATGAAAAATAAGCCACTTTTTGCTACTTCCGGTTTGACCGGAAGTAAAGACGACGGACGGAAAATTTATTTTTATGCTCTCAGAGACATATGTTACCCCAAAACTTGTAAAGAACGGCAAAAATACGCTTTTTTCGACTACTTCCGGTTTGTCCGGAAGTGACGATGCTTGACGTATTTTGACGACTCCAATAGATTGAGCTTGACATTTTTAACAACTTTGCTTCTTTAACATGTTACAAATTCTCAATACTTTTTGAGATATTAGGGAAAAACTTTCGGCCCCTCTAGGCCATTAATTATAGGGGCCAGCCCTTTTTTTGAGATATCATTTGAAAGATCATAGGGTAAACTGATCGCAAGTCGAACGCCTGTTTATATTCGCCGTCAAGTTTGACAACACGGTGCGTTATGCGTGTCATAAACCCAGAGATGTATCGAAATGTGTATCCAAAGCGTCATTTTACCATGATGTTTACTGTGGCAACTGAATGAAACAATTGTTATTAAAGGAAAAAGCCCGAGACACTAAATCAATCGCAAGTCGAACACATTCGACCTCAAGTCGAACAGCTAGATATGAAGTCGAACGCCATTTATTCTGAGTTGTCCAGTTTACTATTTTTATGGGAACTGCTTTTCATGACATAAATATAAATAAATAGACATATTTCTGAAGAGATTATTTTTTTTTAATTAAAAAAATCTCTCTCGTCTTTCTCTTCTAGATAGATTTTGATTCATACCAAGAGTTTTGATGTGATTTTTTTAATAAGATATTTTATTATGAAGGAAGACTAGTTAAACGATATATTGCACAATTTTTCATTCATCCTCCGCCTTTCTATTGGTTTTATTAATTTTTATTTGTCTCTATATATTTTAAGATCTTACATGTCATGGGCTTCGGAACCGGGGGGGGGGGGGGGGGGGGGGGCTTAGCCCCCGTACTTTTTTTTTTTGCAAACATAGACATTATATAAGCATTGAGCGTCCCCAAAAGCAGTTCAAAACGTTCAAAAGCAGTGTTGCAGTGTAGTCAAAGAAGGAAAGGGTTTGGTGGGAAAAAGGGTACTTAAATAAGTTTGAACACCCCATCCCATGCTTCCGGCGACGCCAATGCATGTTTCTTTTTTTCTTCTTCATTTTCCGTTCAACATGTCTGAAAGCCTAATTTGAAGTCACAGCAAAATAGCTTAAAAAGTTCTGACCCCTGTTCTTTAAAGTATTTGTTTCAAAGACTAGCTTTCTTCCTTGTTTAACAAATTTCTATGGTATGTATAAGTGTATTAAATTTAAACAGTATTTCCATGAAACAAATTGAAGTGTACATATTAAAAAAAAAAGAATTATGCATAAAACGAAAAACAATAGGGTTGCATAGAAGTTCAAAGTTGAAAAAAATTTCACAAAATTAAAATCGTTCATACGCACTTTAAGACCATTCAAATTCAAATATCTTTCAACTTCCGTTTTCATTTAAGGATGTACAACACACCTACCCCAAAAAATTCCTGTCGTTTAATTTTCATTATTTTTGTATATTTAGTACATGACTATATCTACTGCATGTATGCATATTTTGGACAAAATCGTTCGAGTGGTTGTTGGACAGGAACTTCCGAAAGTTACCCCCCTTTAGTTGTTTACAAGGAAAGAAAATTTTTAATCAATGAACTACTTAAACCTTGATTTTCAAAAAAACCAGGGTAGATATAAATGTCAAATTTCATTGGCTTATTCCTTTAACCATTTAACACAAAAACATAGTCATCTTTTTGATATACATATCATCAAAACAATTTTAAAAGACCTTAAACTGAAAAACTATGAATTTTCTAAGCCTTGAAAATTGCGTATTTTTCAAATTCAAAATTTTTTTGTGAAAAAACCTGTCGTTTAATTTTGGTAAAAAACTTTCTTTAGGTAGCTGGTAGTAAAAATAATCTTCATAATTTTTTGTATAATTTTTGTACGACCAGTTTTGATTTAATAGCGGAAAATTACCCCCTCCCCCTTTCTCAATAAATCACGTTCCCGCGCGTCTTTCAGGCGGGGGTCGATCACTTTGTTATATGAATCTACAAATACACATTTAAAAAATTAAATTGGAATATTGCTTTTGCTTGAAAAATATATTAACTTGCAAATTTAAAAGTTCTCATATGTAAAGCGTATTTAAATGTAGATTTTTAGGCAATTTTTGAATACCCCTATCGCCCCCACCCCTTCCTTTTTTGCGTCGCAGACCATTAGCATGATTAGCGTTTGACGAAAAGTCGTTCTGGTATACTGGTATTTCGTCAAGAATCCCGGAGGTATGCATTAGTTTTTAAATTTATGAATGCAGAATAAATATTGACTACTCTTTTTATATGTATCAGGAAAAAATTACTGTAAGATTTTAGTATTTAGTCCATATACGTATGTGTTATGCATTCCATATCACATGAAACTGGATACGAATTCAAGTTTTGTTGAACTTGAATATGTTGATTTTTAATTTATGTCTTTAATTTTATTCATTAAAAAATTGTGTATGTTCAACTCTCCTGTGATATAAATGGAATAATTGTAGTTTCTTTCATGTCATTATTTTCAAACGAGACAGTATGTGGCCGTGGGGATACATCGACATTTGCATTCATACACCCCTCATGGTATTGTACGCATTTCTTTCAATGTCGTCGCTTCTAAAGTTAAAATGAAAATTCCGTATTCGTTCACATTAACTTCAAAATATCAAACATTAAACTCTTTATCTATTTCAATTTATATCAAATCGTACATGGATATTTTTCAAAAACTTATAGGCTACGTTTTGTTTTGATTCGAGGAAATGCGAACAGACATTGTTGACAGAAAGTCAAAGTTACGATTTGCTGCAATAGGATATTCATAATGATAAATGCAGATAACTTCAGTACAAGTGAACAATTCTTTTCAATTCTATACTTACATTGTGTATATGAGGTCTATAGTATTCAATTCTCGGATTTATCAGGTCTTGCTGTAAATGTATCTGATTCTGTGGAAAACCGTGATTAATTAAAGGGAGGAAAATAAACATCTCCTACATTTTCAGAGTTGTTCCTCTTTGATCAGTAAGGGTCTGAGAACAACATCGATTTTACATTGTAAAAAGTTTTTTTGTTTATTTATTGTTGTTTTATTTAATTAAAGAAGAAAAACAATATTTATATCGTGTATGCACAAATTGTAATGAAGACCATTAATCGGAATGTTATATAGCCAATTGTACATAATGAGAATTTCGGCAATGTAAAATAAAATTTTCAGAATAAAAAAAAAATGCTGCGCTTTGATCAAAAATACAATTTATTGAATATGAAATGAAATGAAATAAACATTAAGGGATGGTATTTTATGTTTTGCTTTTTACGGAGTTTAATCGGGTTAATTAAAAGAAATACTTTTGGATTGAGTATGGTACGCACAATCACAGCCAAGCCCCATATCCCAATTTTCTTTCATGATTGATATACATCGGGATCGTTTTACTCGTCGTTTTGACGCTTTATTTTTGACGTTAAATTTGACGTCACGTCAAACGTTCAATTGAAATCGCAAGAGTTATCTCCCCCAGTGTGTTGTACGTCTTTAAATCAATTGTTAATCTTTTATTACGGCCCCGATTTTCTTGAGATCTCCACATATCTCATTTCACCCCTGGAACTGGCACACATTCTTGCATGCAGCATTGTCATTTTTTGTTTTTGTTTTGTTTTTTTTGTTTTTGTTTTTTTTTTTTGAAAGGAGGGATCATGACAACTTATCTGAAAAACGTGAAGATCATGAAGAAATGGAACGGGATTGAT